GTTTGATTGATATGCTCCAGCGAGCGTATGTTGCGACGCGAGTCGACTGGGATGGTCTTCTGCGAGCACTTCCGCTTGTATCGCGACAACACGCTCTAGCAGTTCGATTGCCTTCTTGACTTGCCCGTTTGCTTGATATGCTATAGCGAGCTCATGTTGCGACGCGAGTCGATCGGGATGGTCTTCTGCGAGCACTTCCACTTTTATCGCGACCACACGCTCTAGCAGCTTGATTGCCTCCTTGACTTGCCCGTTTGCTTGATATGCCACAGCGAGCACATACTGCGATAAAAGCCGATCCATATTTTCTTGGGCAAGATTTCTAGATCTCCACTTGTAAGACTCCAGTAGCCAGAGAACAGCTTCTTTAATCCGCCCATCAACGTATAAGCACCGCCCGACCTTCAGGCAAAGCTCACTCTTCTCTTCTGTATCTTGGCATTGCTCATCCTTCTCTATGCGTGCCACATGCGGCAAAAAATTCCGCCAGATTTCACGATTGGTGTAATCGTCTGAGGGAAAGACTTTGGAGATATGTTGTAATGCCGCCATGCTTGTCTCTGCTTCACGGCCATTCTGCTTTACCCACATCCTGGTCGCTAAGTGGACTAGTCTATGCATGTCGAGCCGAGTGCCATCGTCTCTTCTCTCTAGAAACGAGTAGGAACAAAGTGTACCGATCGCCCCTACCAACCGTGCTTCAGGGTAAGCCGCTGGTAGAATGGAGTACGGGATTGCCCTCCATTCGATGCAGGATATAAATGCGAGGAGATCTGCCGCTAATGTATCGTATTCGCGAATCTTGTTGAACGTTACCGTCCACGTTTTCGCGACTGGTTTGTTGTCTCCAAAACCCGTACTCATAACCGCAACGGCGTCCTGCTCGGTCTTCTTTAATAGCCGCAAATATTCGGATATAGAACTTTTATTGGTGTTGATATATGCCGCTGCCTGGGTAACTGCCAACGGGAGATATTCTAGCTCGGCGAGCAGAATCATCACGGTATCGTGGTCGTAAGAAGGGCTTTTTCGAATCAATCGCTTTTCCAACAAGTCCACGGTCTCCTGTGCCGTCATCTTCCCTATCTCAATCACGTCACTGCCGGTCAAGCGTTGCGCTACCGCTCCATGTCGCGTCGTGAATATTGTCAGGCCATCATCGCTTTCCGGTAGAAAGGTCAGCAAGCCTTTTGTATGATTGGTGTCACCAAGCAAGTCAAGGTCGTCAACGTTGTCAACGATTAATAGCCACTTTCCTGCGGAGCTTTCGCATAGACGTTGCTGCACTAGAACCTTCACGTCCTCGTTATTCTCCTGCCCCAGCCGTATTCCTAATGCTCTTGCTATTTCCGTGCATCCTCGCTCAAATGTTTCCATACTCAGCGATTGGACCCAAAAGATAGAGAACTCTGGATATTCTTTCTTGATAGAGTAGGCAAATTCCATCGCGACTTGTGTCTTGCCGATCCCACCAAGACCGCTGATCGACACCTTTTGGCAATCTTTATCCACGAGCAGCTTTTGTTTCAGTGTATCGAGCTCTGCACTTCGACCAACGAACTTGTAATTCCGTGACAGGGGGAGCAAGAAGCTACGCTTTGGCTCTATGACGTGTGAGTTACTTCTGGATTTGGAATTATGATGGCAAAACTAACCCAGTAGTGCTTCATCAACTGTTTTGGTCTTTACCACATCCACCGCCGGTATCACTCGTAGTAGCTCCTTCGCGTATGCCGCGGCTGTTCCTGCCGCATACGGCTGCCATCTCTTGTTCTTGTGCGAGTCAGCGTAGTCACAGATGCCGCGGATCACCAGGCATGGAAAATTATTCATCAGGCCGGCAGCCTCCATCTCAAAGCAGAGAACTCCTTTGAATTCCGAGCTGATCTCATCCCGCTCTACGCCGTCCCTCATGACCCCGTTCCCCGACGCGATTGTACCGTAGTGAACCATAGGTGTATCATGAGCCCGCTCCTCCCTCGATATCTTTCTGACGGATGCACATGACGCACAGTTGTTTTCTCCACCATGAATATACGTCGCTTCGAACAGCACATCGCTTCCTGCTTGGATGCGACCAAACTTGGGGATGTTTTCAAGTCGGGAAAGATGCGCTGACAAACTACTCCTGCCTCGGTCTAGGTTCGATCGTAACTTGGTAACAGCGGCGAGGAGTACGGTAGGCGGGGCGTTGAGGAACCCTGTCCGCTCGAATCCGCCTGGCGTTGACTTTCCAAAATCATACTGCACCACCCCGCCATGGCCGTTACCAGGCTGGCTGACAACAATGTCACCAAGTCGAATATCCACTTCTTTGCGTGGAACGCCGCCTCCAATCCCTACCATTAGCCCAAATCGAATAGCGGGGAACGTGGATTTCATCTGCATGGCCACTGCCGCAGCAGAGTTGGTACCCGTCTGGCCAGCGGGTAGGCACGCCAGGACGACATTGTGCGCCCCTATCGACCCAAGCGTGTATATATTCGAATCGTTGTTGTTCGGAGGGAGGTCTTGGTGTTCTTCGTCAAGCATCTGCTGTGCGGCAGTCAGCTCGTCAGACAAGGCGCACACCCAGCCGACCGTATAGTCGTGGAGACTAAGGCGTCTTGCCATCTTGCCGAGGTGTCCGTTGAACCGGCCTCAGCTTGGATGTGAGCTTGAGGATGATGACCAGCACAAAACGTGAGGAGCGTTGGGCTACTGTAATATAACCAACGCTCGGCGCTTAGACGAGCGGGGTGCAAATGACTAGCTGGGCAGAAAATGCTGACTGGGGAGAAGTTGACCTCCGGCATGATTCGTTGACAAAATAATCCTCAAAAAACAGCCCAAATCAACGACCATTGGATACTACGGTGACCTGGATGATGATATCCTCCACGAAGAAGTAAGTAGGTTCATCTCTTGTGATGGCAATGCTCTATGTTCTCCTTGGCTAATTGCGACTGGGCCTCTGACTACGCATTTCTGTTGGGACTTAGGCACTGGCCCCCCTAAGCCTAACGCAGACGCGCTACTTATATCGGCCCCAGGCACTCTAGAACGTAGCGTTTTAGCATATTTGGTCTCTTTGGCTTGTTTGGCTAGTTCGCCTGGGCACGTTTTCGCAGCAATTTCCCTTCCCCCGCAAATAGTTGATGGCTATTGAATGCGCCCCTTGCAACAGCAGAGAATTAAATACATGAGGCATCAAAGTCAAAAAATCACCAAGACAAGCCCTGGCAGCATTAGAACCAGCTATTAACATAATTACAGTCAAATGACTCGACGGTGTTCGATAATCCAGCTAACTCCAACAGTTTGCTGTTTTCTTTATCAATATGTGCAAATATGTATTCCACATGATCCTCCAATGTCAATATTTATCTATTCCTCGGTAACTGTACTTGAAGATCATCTAAGCAGCTCCTAGTCATTGGAAAAAACCCCCCAGAAAATCATGCCCGTATTTCCAAAATGAAGACTGCCATTGCCAGACCAGCAAGGACTTTTGACGACAATCAGGAGCTCTCGGCTCTCAGTTATTGTCGCTATCTTCCAGAAAAGGTGATAATGCCTGCCCACAAGGTGCGTCGTTGGGCTCGGGTAACCATCTCAGTATCCAAAAATATGAGATATACTATTAATCTATGAAATATTCGGTGAGACTCAACACGGCAATTATAATTAAAGCACGCTGTTCCTGGATGACCCGGGTCGTAGAGCTGTCGTTGACTTCATGTTTCACCTAATTTTCTATCCGGATTATGAATATGAATTATATGGACATCTCTATATCCTGGCACTGCCCAAGAAAAAGCTTAATGTGCAATCACTTTCATATTAACGCCGGGAGTTATTGTTTTTGAGTTGATTAAAGAAAATCTTCAGCTCTTGGTCAGTTACCGTGGAGTATACAGGGGAGCGAGCCCTTATAAATGAGCAGATGAATATAACGTCTCAAAATTTGGACAATTTTCATTCGTCCGAACCTTAATATGAAACTTTTCAACAAGTTCTTACTTGTACGTCTTGATTTTCTTTCCCAGGAAACTATATTCTACCGCTAAGAGGTGAAGGAATGAATTGAGCCCTGTTCTGAACTACATCTAGGTTTGCCCAAATCCCTGCCCTCTGAGCTAGAGATTGCTGTGGGCGGTATCCAAGATCACGCCACTAGAAAACTCCTCATATTTCTCATAGAACTTCCGTCTTATATTTGAGAGACTTGCAAAAATTTAACGCGCCAAGGTGCGTTACGTTACGACATAAAGCTTTTCACTGTTAGTGCCACGATGGTCGTCTTCTTGGCGTGGTCCATAATAGTATCACCAGATCTCACGGTATAATATATTGGACTTTTTCGCCAGAGTGAAGGTTTTAAATAATTTGGTATAATTTACGAGGTCCGTGACGTAGGGATTGATATTGAATGATCGATTTAGTAGTGAAGAATCTAGACTTCTTAACTAAACTGGCCCGCGTAGCCAGACCCAAATCATATCATTTATGAGTGCCCTATTACCCTGTGATTGATATCCTACTTCCGGTTGAATTTCATTATTATAACTGATTAGATCTTTTTGGCTCGTCTTTCGCGCGGGAATTAATTAATTTTGAAACCTTGCCATACCTCGCTGAGGTCATCTGCGAACCTAAAAGTTGAGATTGCCTGCAACCGTCTAACGTCTAGCTTGGCGACAAAATATACCGCAGGGTTTTTGTGTAATAGGACATGGTGCAATTTGTCGATAGTCCTACCGCGGTAGGGATGCCTCTTGTTAAATGTACAGTTGATCATCTACCAGTATGATACCCGGCTATTGGTTAGGTGCGGCTTGGCCCGAACTCTGATTAAGCGTCAAAATAAGGCCCAGACCGTGCCGGTCAGTCCTTCGGTAGCAAAAAGCACGTTTGCCTCATTTTAATTTAAACATTTTGGAAAAGCATGAACCGCTGATCATCGAAAACAATCCCCTGGAAATTGATTGTTTGGTGATCGATCAGACGACACCCCCATTAGCAGACTTGCTAAGTCTTGGTGACGAAACCAACAGCGTTTGTTTTTGGTGTTAGAAGGTATGCTTTTGGGAATATTGTTACTCCTGACAAGATATAAATTCGTCCTGAAACCCCTCAAGTGCTGAGATGCAGATAAATATTCATCGCAACCGCACTTCAGTATAACAAGCTGGATTTTACCAATACAAATTGGTGTGGAACATCGACTGGTTTACCCAAGTCATTCATCATGCCCCACGCTGCTCAAAGTACTATCAACCCCGCCCGGGCCAATTTCTTCCGAGACCTGAAAGGGGATCTTGGTTCCGAAGCTTTGGAAACCCTGGACCCGGAGAAGTCCATGTCCCAAGCCCTACCGACCTTAGCAGGCTCCTCTGCGACTAAACTCGAGATTTATCCATGCACAACTCAGAAGCCTACACCTGCAGCGATCGCCGGTAGCATAAGTACTACGGCCCTTCAAGTCGGGCTTGGAAAAGAGATAGCCCGCTGAAGGACCGGACCGACAAAAACCGTCAACTTCGCCGTTCTTGCGACCGGATATCCAAAGCCGGAGCTCGCTTTCCTTGCGGCAAACAAATTACACGAGGCTGCTAATGAATGGAATGCGCTAAAGCTCGGCGTGCAGTTTGAATGGGTTTATAAGATCGAAGATGCCGCGTTCGTCCTCACCTACGCAGAGCAAGTCAACCCTGGGACACTTGCCGAGGCGTTTTCCCCGAATAATATCGATTTGAATGTGCTGAACGTCTATCCTGCTGCATTCAAGGAAGGAACAGTGCATTACTTGAAGAATATTTTCTTGCACGAGCTGGGTCACGTCCTAGGACTCCGTCATGAGTTTGCCCCAGAGCTCGAAACTGGTGCCAACCTAAAGTCGGTCCAAATTGGTCCACGTAACCCGACGTCAGTGATGGGATATGAATTCCCTCCCCAACTGCAACAGTCGGATATCGACAGCGCTAAAGCATTCTACCAATTCCCGGGAACACATTTAGGTGTTTGGCAAAAGCCTGGTACGCTGCCTATTGTGGACTACGATGCAAATAACTAGCTCCACTCGCTGGGCCAAGGGGACAGATCGTTGAAGTATCCTGATTGCTCAAGAAGCTCGATGTAAAAGTGAAGGTTCTTCATGTTTCTTTAACCGTCAGACAAATTGAGACCAAGTTATTTATCATGTCACCATAACATTTGAGCTCCGTATCTGTCTAAGCACAGACTTCCCATGGCGTATTACAGCCGCCCTGTTGCAACCGCCATACAGTTGGCCTGTCTTAATTTCTGTCACTTTAGGGTGCCCGCGATATTGAGGTCATCGCTTTTGCAGTCTTGAAGGGTCTCGGGGTCTTCTCTGTCAATCCATCTTCATCAAAACCGTTTGTTGCCAGAAACAACTATTGCGGGACAACACCTCTCACAAAACTTCCATTGCTGGAATAAAATCAGATCTTTGTTGGAAGAAGAAAGCCAATTGACGGTTCCCCGTCCCAGAACTTTACCTATAGTCTCTGTATTTTCAGGCCGTCTTCTCCGTGCCTTGATTTCTGATGTTTCATTACTTCTATTTCTAAGATCTGGTACTTGCTTAAAATACAGGGAAAATATAGAAACAAATTCAATAGTGATCCTGAACGATACAGCTAGGATCTACATGAGTTATGAAAGTCAATTTGCTGACAAATTTGTCACCGGGACTAGTCCCGCGGGACACCAACCCAAAAAAGGGAAATGGTGAGGTCTAACCTAGACTATAGTTCTAGAACGCTCTAGAGCGAGATAATAAGAATGACTATATTTACTGCTTCTATCAAAGTCTTTCCAAATGTCAAGCGCCTTGATCTTGTTGTCGAAATCTAGACCCACAAAGTTATAAGACCTTCTAGATGGTCAGTAGTTCAGCCCTGTCACACATAGCAAGACTAGAAGGTGGAGCTGGAAGTCTAGATATGAGAGGACCATGGCATATACCCACGGGGCCATGTTCGAATGGATGATATCCTGAACGAGGAATATTAAAAGTTCAGCTGAAAAATATTGGAGGGCATGGCATGACTGCAAAATCATGTATTCACCACCAACTCCATGTTACGTGAGTGGAACGGAAGGTCCTCCCACCAGAAATGCGTATTTACTCCAAATCAACATATTCATAATTCATACACCTAGGGTATAGGTAAAGACGAACCCCAATCCCAACGCCAATCAAATGCACAGCTAAGCTTTCTCCAAGTTCACCACCACCACCAGGCCGGAATCAATGCACAAGCTTATAATTCCCACCACTGACGATCTCCAATTTCCCCCCAGAAACCATGCCGGCCAAAAACTCCCTCAGCTCCTCATTGCTAAACGGGAACCCACCGGGCACCACAATCTTCAACATCATAACAATCCGCTGCAGGGGCATCGCGCCCTGATTCGTCAGCATGCCGACGATGAACTGCCAATAAAGGTTCATCTTCTCCATAGCCGCCGCTTCTGCGGATTCTTTAGCTGCAGCCGCAGCCGCAGCTTCGGCGGCGGCGGCTGCATTGGATGCATCTGCGGATTGCATGTCTGCATCGCCGCCGTCGGCACCGTGGACGCCGAATTCGTCTTCGTCGTCGGAGGGGAGGTATTCTAGGACGCTGAACTCGTCGCGTGAGGATTCGGTGAGGATACGCTTGCTTACCCAGAATAGGCAGGCGGAGCGGACGAGGGTGGGTGTCATTTCTAGCTGTTCGGCTAGATAGGGGATGGTTCGGGTGGCGCCTTCGTCGTGGTCGGAGTGGAAGGCGTGGATGACGGTTGCTTGCCAGGTAGTAACTTCTTCGGAGAATGTGCGGTCGCGTAGTTGTAGTTCAACCAGGACCTGGCCTAGCCCGTTTCGCCAGGTGAGTTTGCGAGAGGCTTTGAGTGCTTCGAAGCCGTTGGCATAGCGACGCTGTAGAGATGCGATTTCGTCAGGGATTTTGAACTCTTGGTCCTGGATTTCGGGCCAGAAGAAACGCGAAAGAATCTTTGCATGAATGTCTGGGACGGGTCGTTCTGGCGGTCGCTTGTTAAACAAGCGAGTAGGTGGTCTGATTAGGCCTTGGTCTTTGCGAATAACCTCGTCGACGCGACCAGAATCTGAGATATCGCGGAGCATAACCTCGCAGGCTTGCAGCGCAGAGTCCCCAAAGCGCACCTTAAGCAACTCGAGGACTGATATTTCTTGATCGTAATTCTCGCGCTTTTGAATAAGGCGGTCGCTGAGGAGGGTTTGGAGTTCCTTGACGAATGTCTCCTTGGAGTCGAATAAGCTGACTAGGCTATCGATGACGTCGGAGCTCTTTGATTTGCGATAGTCTGGTGCTGCGTCGACGGGGTCAGGCATCCAGTTCATATCATCCCAGTCTAATTCACTGGTATTTGTTTCCATGGAGAGCTGATGGGCCTTGGATAACTCGGTCGACAGCTCAACAAGGGTCTCATTGGCGTGTGACGGGGTCCTCGCGCTAGTCGCCGCTGGCTCGGCCAGGAGCCCGCTAACAATGACCTTGATAGTGTCATCTCTGTCTCGTAGATACCGCCGAATCGGCCGAGCGATACGATCCAAGAGAACACCTTTTGGGTCTAGCAGGTGGAAAGCTCGAATAATAGAGATGTACAGCTGGAGAATCTCCACGGTCGAGGCTCCGGGGTGTAACAGTCGCTGGTTTAAAATTGTAATAAACGACTGTGTGACATGAGCTCGAGCGGCAGGATGGGTGGTGAAATGTCGCAGGTCTTCTACAGCACCGCTGCTCTCGGGCCAGTCAACGATAACATCGAAGAGCTCGCTGGTGCGAAGAGCGCCTAAGCGAGCGATGCCCATCTCCTGCCACTTTTCCACGTCGCCAAAGCTGACATCCAGAGGGCTGGAAGGTTGACCTCCAGAGTGAGGTGCGTGTATGATCGTCAGAACCTGTACAGCCAGTCGAGCAAAGACATTTTCAATCCAATGGCGTAAATGTTGTGGCACTGATGAAGGCGCCTCCCATTGACCCGTGTAGGCGGCGCGGACAAACTCAGTCATCATGATATTCATCACGCTGGCGAAAACTTTTTGAGCTTTGTCCCCGCCAAGCCCGACATGCTGCAGCCCGTTGAGAAAAGCGAGAAGCCGATCCCGAGCCATGGTAACTTGGTCATGCTCACCCTCGGTCATCAGATGAGCACGCGTCTCCGAGTCCTCATTCTTCCAGTCTTCATACGAGACTGAGTACTGTCGATCGACTTCCATCTCATCCTCGCCACATCCATCTTCGACTTGGGATCCAGCCGGAGCTTCAAGTAAGGTGTCGATACCCAAGATGATCAGTGCATCCTGTGCCAGCTCCCCGCCCAAAAGCGGTGATATTTTTGACCAGGGCAATGAATAAGAGACCACCGTATGGAATCCACGTTGCAACTGTGTCAGGACTAGTCCTTGTTCCGGCGCTTGAAGTAGAGGCAATAGGTAGTGGACGACGGGAGCGAGGTAGATGCGACGAGCAAGCTGCAAGCAGTCCACAATTGTCCGCAAGAGACCTTCTTTCCCCGGGGTTTTCAAGAGCTGTATTCGTTAGCACCAGTGGCACCAGTGGCTTCACGTCTTCACCCTCCCCAGCATACCTCATGTAGACCACTCCGAAGATTGACCAGGAAGTGCCGCCGTATCTCGTCACCGTACCAGTCGATCAGATTCTTCGAACCAGTCACTCCATATCCGGTGTTGCCCTGCTGGATCGTCGCCGCCAGATATGACAGTGCCTCCGCAGTCTCCTTAGACGGAGGGCTCAGACGATTCCAACCCTTCAGCGCCTCACTTCCATCAGTCTGTCGTGCATCGAAAATCGGGGCGAATCCCTGGTTCGGGACGGCCAAAAAGGCGGTTGCTGCAGACCAGGCCCGGTTCCATATCTCTCTATCCCGCGACGCATCGGGGTGGTGTTCGTGCTGAGGCGAGGCCAGAGAGGCCGTTCTCACTGTTGAGGACGAAGCCGTGGATTGGAATGAAGCGAGTTGCGTTTGATCGGGATTAGAGCTAGATTCGAAGGGTGGCCGAGCTTGCAGTGACGCGGGGGAAAAGACGGAGCCGAATACGCGTCGGCGGCCCGCATTGAGAGGCACAGAGGTAATCATTGTGGTTGGAGTACATTCAACATGGTGGAAGGAAGCTGAATACGATTTTCAGCAAGCCCAACTTTGCGGGAAGCTGAAGGGTGCGATCAACAAATCAACAACGAGAGTGGTGTTTGGAGGTTCATGACTTCGAAAGCGGCGCGTGGTCACGTGGCCCGCGACCGTCTTTCTGTCGACCTACTGGATGTTCACATGGCGAGGGTGCTTCCAAAAAGTAACATTTGGGGGGGGGGGGGGTATAGATACTGAAAATAGACTATAGGAGAAAGGTTTCTACTCTAATAGCTGAAGTGCTACTCAGAGCGTGCCGAGGTTGACTCTAAGGAACGCGGGGTGACTCCAAAATGGAAAGGGGAATACACAACGATGCGCCGACGAAAAAGACGAGTGAGATAAAGCGCCGATGAACGCTCTGTGCGACGGAACCCAAGTCCGATGTAGAACAGAATGCGAGACTGGTCATATCAAGTCGTGTCGTGTCACCTCGGACATCAAGTCCGCAAAGCGATGATAATAAGAACCCCATCCTGGGGGCCCGCAAGTTCGCTGGGCTTGGAGCTGTCCAAAGCCCACCCCCCAGAACATGTGCTCTTTCACAACCTCAGGCCTTGTTGTCCTCCACCTTCTCCCACTCGCTATCAGTGCTCCCGTATCCAGAACTATCACCGCCCGTGCTCGGCCGCTTCTTGGTATCGCGCTCGGTGGGTTGCAGTCTGGCCGAGGCAGTCTCACTGCCCGTCGTCACAGCGGACGATGTAGGAACCTTCTTTGACCCTGCAAAAGACTCGGTCTCCGTGTCGCTGTCGGCACCGTCCACTGCGCCGGAATCCTTCTTCCTGTCGGTGGACCCGGCCTCTGCCTCGGCCTGATCTTTCCCTTCGGCTTCCTGTGCTGCCTGTGCGAGGCGCACCTCGTGCGCGAACCAGTTGATGGAATACCAAAGCCCCGCGCACAGCACCGATAACACAACGAAATGGATGCTGTAGGTGGCTAGACCGAGGACGAAGAGGACGAGCTGAAGGGCGGCGAAAGATGCGTTGGTTGCGATCAACAACGTCCGGGTGGGTCCCGGAGTGAAGACGCTGGACCACAGCTCCTCTATGAAGGAAGCCATGGTTCTGGGGGTACTGGGGGGAATAGTGTTTGGCGGTGGGAGTCCGAGTGCTTTCTTTGTGCAGGGGGGGTTCTCGGCGAACAGTGGCTGGACCGCGGGGGGGAAGCAACAGGAGTGACGTCGCTAGGAGGACCGGAAACTGGTATCCGTTCGAAAAGGGGGGGGGGGGAGTAAAAAGAGGAACGGAGACCGGGAGAGATGCTAAGAGAAAGAGGGAATAAGGATCGGGGACCATGTTCCGATTGATGACAATACCCAACCCGCTCCGCCCAAGAGGGGCGCTTTTTAGTAACAAAGAGCACCGAAACGGACCGACCCCAACGAACTCGCTGGAGAATTCCGGGTGGGCATAGATCGGACCCCGTGGGGAATGACACGGCTACATTAGTTAGAATTTTGTTTCAAGTGCGAGTAAACAAAAAAAGACCTCGCATTCGTAGGTCATGTCTGATGCGATCAGCTGCGAACATCATCCGTTTATGTCGCGGGACATCATCATGCTCGCCGACGAGAACCGGCCCGAATGAGATATGTCTGCCCGGATGTTCGAATACCCTGTCGCCCTCCTCGAATGTGCTGGAAGCTCATCTGCAGGGGATCGTCGTCTTGAGGGCGGCATTTAGTCCCAACCCGGACTGATCTGGACAACGGACGAAACTCTCGGATAAAGCCCGAGGAGCGCCCGAGAGTGCATATCGGCCGGAATTGGGGAAAGTTAGATGCTCTCAATCTTGGTTTTACAGGCTGCTCCAGAGCTTCACAGTGTCTCCAAAGAATGAAATGAGCAGTCTCGTGTGTGATAGAGGCTCATAGAGACTCACAAGTCACCAGCACAACCGTCGCGGCAGCACGTCTCCAATGCCACCCACGATCGAGGCTCGTGCTAGGATGGAATAGCATCGAAAGATGACCTTCCCCATATTCGAAGGGGCCCTGTTGATCCACTCATTGTCCTCAAAATAGACTTTCTCCCACCAGTCCAGTCGGCGTAGATAGAAATGGGCCATTTCCAATAGCCGTCCACCACGGCCAATTAGTCTCACACAATTGACCGGCCAGTTTCCCCGTATTTTCCCCACGCCCGACGTGGGAGCTGGTGGATCATCCCCGTCGATTTCCCTTTGCGTGCTGACGACCGGTAAACCGCGCACTGCCGTCATTCCTGGCCAGGCTGGAGTAGAGTCGGGTTGTGCCCCGCAACACCGGAATCGGTCTTTGGTGACACCAGCATCCAATCATGGTGCTTCCGTTGGTGCAAGTCGACCGCGTCGAGGAGGGGAGGGGAGGGGGAGCGAGAAACCTGGCCAGGGCCACGCAAATGAAGAGCGAGCTGAGGGTGGTATAAATATGACCAGTGGGCACCCCAGATTCTAATGGTGGGACAGAAACGGAAATTCCCTCCTCAAAAGAGGTGAAAGCCGCCGAGTACTTCCCTTTTCATCAGTTCTTTTTCAGTCCAATCTTATAGATCTTGTGGATCGTGAGAATGGCAGACATGGCAGTAGACAAGGCTGATCTCGATCCCGTGGAGGGCTTCACGCATCACGCGGAGGACATCACAGCAGACCGGGAGCCGTATGGCCCCCCGGGACTGCGTGGGCTGATCAGCAACCCATTCGTGTTGATGTGTGCTGCCTGCTCGACTCTGGGTGGTCTTGTCTTTGGCTATGACCAGGGTGTAGTGTCGGTCATTCTGGTGATGGACCAGTTCTTGGAGGAATTCCCGCGGGTCGGGGGCTCCGGTGCTGGCTTCTGGAAGGGACTGTTGACCGCGATGATTGAGTTGGGTGCACTGTTGGGTGCTTTGAATCAAGGATGGATCGCAGACAAGATCTCCCGTCGCTATTCCATCGTGGTGGCTGTTGTTATCTTTACAATTGGCTCGATTCTCCAGACTGCCGCGTTCGGATACCCGATGCTGGTGGTGGCTCGTTTAATCGGAGGGTTGGGAATTGGTATGCTGTCCATGGTCGCTCCCCTCTATATCAGTGAAATCAGTAAGTTTTGTCATACCCTCTCGAGACCAAGATACGGAGACTAACAACTTTCTTTTTCACTCCATTGTTAGGTCCCCCGGAATGTCGTGGAACATTGCTTGTTCTCGAAGAATTCTGTATTGTGCTTGGCATCGTGATTGCCTACTGGATCACCTTTGGAACACGGTACATGGCCGGCGAATGGTCCTGGCGTCTACCCTTCCTCTTACAGATGCTTCCCGGCTTCATCCTGGCAGCCGGTGTTGTCATCCTCCCCTTCTCGCCTCGATGGCTCGCCTCAAAAGGTCGCAACGAGGAGGCACTCCAAAGCCTTGCCAAACTGCGTAACCTGCCAACCTCCGACAGGCGCGTGCGCCAAGAGTACATGGACATCCTAGTCGAGGTCCGATTCCACCAAGAAATGAATGCGGAAAAGCATCCAGACCTGCAGGGTGGCGGCACCAAGAACTCGATCCTGCTGGAGATGGCCTCTTGGGCTGATGTCTTCAAAAAAGGTTGTTGGCGCCGTACGCATATCGGTGTCGGTATCATGTTCTTCCAGCAATTTGTTGGTATTAATGCATTGATCTATTACTCGCCCAGTTTGTTCAAGACTATGGGTTTCGATGTCAACATGCAGCTTATCATGTCCGGCGTTCTGAACGTGCTGCAGTTGGTGGGTGTGACAACTAGTGTTTGGACTATGGATACTCTGGGTCGTCGGAAGCTGTTGCTCATCGGTTCCGTTCTGATGGCCATTTCGCACATTGTCATTGCTATTCTAGTCGGTCGATTTGGCTCCAACTGGGAAGGACATCAGACGGAAGGTTGGGTCAGCGCAGCTTTCTTACTCTTCTACATGGTTGCTTTCGGAGCCACATGGGGTCCCGTACCATGGGCAGTGCCATCCGGTAAGCCCTGCTATCTCAAATATATTTGACCGAACTATGCTGACCTGTATTCTAGAAATCTTCCCTTCTTCCCTCCGAGCCAAGGGTGTCGCCATTTCTACTTGTTCCAACTGGCTCAACAACTTTATCATTGGTCTCATCACCCCACCTTTAGTCGAGGATATCGGCTACGGTGCCTACGTGTTCTTTGCTGTATTTTGTGTACTCTCGGGCGTTTGGACCTTCTTCTTCATGCCGGAGACTATGGGTCGCACACTCGAGCAGATGGATCATGTCTTCAAGGATAACTCTAGCGAGCATGAGCGGGAACGCAGACATACCATTGAAGCCAGTGTACTAGCTGAACGCGAATATGCTTAAAGGGGGCTCTACTATGCGCTTGATTAGCGGCAGAATTCTTTTTTCTTCATCGGATGTTCAAATTTATCCTACTGTTCCACAGCCTGTACAACGGTAATTCAAAGCCCTAAATCTAGAGAGCCGAGAGTTCTGTCTAGATGTATTCAAGAAATGTAATGAGGTAATGAATCCTGTCGGAATTGTACGCGTTTTATTCGTATTAGACATGTGGCGATTAGACTGCAGGTTGTTGGCGGCATCGCTGGAGACGCATACCTCGGGTGAAAGTATTCTCACAGAGCTTATCATGTTTTAATGGAGCGAGAGATAGACCGGTAAGATTGTTGCAACAACCGTGATTGTTGGAGAGATGACAAAAAATTGTCCAGCTAGAATGTGGTTGCAGAATTATATATACTTGCCACAGGAGCTAATCGAGGCCGAGCCGAACCCCGTCTAAAATCTCGCCTACGACCTGATTAAATATGCGAGCTTTGGTGCCTATCAGAATTGTGCAATTTAAAAGAATAGAGAGGGCTGTATATTCTTATTCTAGAGGCCTTAGTATGTCTGAGTGAAAGTATTAACGCGCAATTCTTAACGTGACGCGTGCTTCTAATAGTTCGGGCGTATCTAGAGTTAGCGTGAACCTCTTCCGGTTTAGTTCCCGATTTAGTGGCGCTGGCATATCGATAGTCGGCCCGGGGAAAGTAAATCACCGGCTTACTATGGGCCAAGCTTAAGATTGCTCAAGCTGAGCTTCTTGTAGTCTCCATTCACTTCGGCCCTTGTGTATATCCTCTCTCTATCTCGAGCTCGCTGCTATAGCCTCTAACTGATTTCTACACGGCTTGACAGCCAATCTATAACCAATGGCTTCTGAAACCAATGGAAAGACTCCAGTCAAGACAAATGGTGACATCCGCAGCGATGTGCAAATCATCCCCCTGAAGCCCCTTGATCAATGGCGGCCTCTGGAAAACACTCGATCCCTATTGTTTCTCGTCGTGCGGGAGAAGCTCGATGAAGAGGCGATGCGAGATTCTCTCGATAGACTTATTAGGGAACACCTGCCAGTCCTTGGAGCCCGAATTGAGCCAAAAAAGTCTGAGCTCGAGTATCGTCTCCCCAAGCCCTTTCCGCCAGCTTATCTCCTATTTGAGTGGACCAACAATACAGTGGAATCCTCATTGGGGGATACCAATCTATTACCGCAAGAAAGTCAATTCGGTTCCGCTCCGTTCTTTGCTTCATCCAACATCCTAGATATGGAGAGGGAATGGACTCCATCCACTTGGCCCGTGGAACGCAAGTTTGAGAAGCCCGGTGCTCCCCTCCTTTTTGTACACATCACCAAGTACACCGACAGCACGATCGTTGCTTTGAACCTTCCACATGCAGTTTCCGACCAACTGGGCTTCGCAAGCATGATAAATGCTTGGATGAAGCTACTTAATGGCGAAGTTCCTCCCGAATTTGTTGAGCTTTCACCGGATGCGCTCGACGGCCCCCAACTCTCTGAAAAAGAACTGCGAATGAAGGGCAGATATCGCATCCTCAGTGGTAGAGAGCAGACCACGAAAATCATCCCATTCATCCCAGGATTCATTCGGTACTCGAAGGAGATTCGAAAGACTCTCTTCTTGCCTGTCAACCTTGTCAATGACCTTCGCGAGCGCTGCATGACCAAAATTAAGGCTATACACGGCGAGGAAGCAGCTACACTATCAAATGCAGATGTTATTACTGCTCTCCTCGCCAAGTTCGCTTTTCTTGGCCAAAAAGGCTCGAAGATGGTGACCCTGAGCACGAGTCTGAATATTCGAGGACGACATCCTGCTCTCCCAGCAGACAAATCGTATCTTCACAATGGCCTCTCATTTGCTGTTGCACGACTCCCCGTCGCACAGACTCCTCTTGCGGAAGTGGCCTACAAGAACCGCCTTGCAGTCAACGAAGAACTCAAGTTGGAAAACATCGAGCGCAGTTTGGCCGTTAGCAAGGAGATGTACAAGCGGCAATATCAAATCCATGTCGTCGAGCCGCTTGATCTCAGCTACGCAATTACAAATTGGTGTGGAGCGTGGCGCGAGCTTGACTTTGGTCCGGCCGTGGTGAGAACGGAGGACAGTGCGGTGGCTGCCGGTGTGAAGGGACCAGCCGTACCTCTTGTATTTGGCCATTCTCTTCAACGCCATATACCGACAAGATTCAATGCACAGATCATGTGCAAGGGAGACGGGGGGTATTGGTGTGATTTTACTGCTATTCCAAAGACCATGGCCAAGGTTGAGAGTCTTTTCAAGTCAGACGCTAAGCTAGAGAGTTTATAGGGGACTACCTGTGTCGGCCAGTTAACCCATTCGACGAAGGCTGCCGCAAAATTGGCTGACCATAATCAGATACGTAATAGATAGCACGATATACAATCCCTTTTTTGAACGTGACAATTAATTCTTGTAAAAGATTTCAAATTATTCACTCTAGAGCTGCATAAGGAGACGCAGCCCTGTCTTCTAGCAAAATCACAACGGACCGATTACGATTTTGAGCAGAAAGCCTCGTTCTATTCATACAATATCCAGCTCCAAAACATGCTCTTTAGCTTATCCGCGTCCGGCAGTAGACTTTCCACAATCTTGCGAGGCAGCGAGCTGTGGAGAATAATAGTCATAGCAGAGAACATCGCCCTGAGTGTTCAGTAGCTGCTCCAAGGTCGCATTCCCAGCGAGCTTGCCAATGTTGATCTCAAAGTCCAGAGTGACGTTCTGACCACTGTAATCAAACGGCTCAATAGGACCGCCAACCTCATGGAGACGGGCGGGGAGATCCTTCTGCTGCCAGTTCCAAAGGACGCGATCAAGGTTGGCGTGGTGCAGGTAGAACAGAGGGTCTGAACATGTTAGTAAATAGTTCATATAGAACACTTTTGATTAAGTGACGATCGACTTACCACCGGGGCTGTGAGCAGAGTTTCCAAGTGTGCCAAGGACACCGCCAACGCCGAAATGACCACTGCCGTGGATGTTGGGCGCACTAAAGCTGGGGATGTTCTCCAGGGCACGGGCAAAGGAGGTATAGTCCGGCTGGCTCTCAACGTGATCCACAAGACTTTGACGTCCAAAGTAGTTCAGGATCCACGGGATCCAGTCACGACGCAGGCAGTCAGACTGGCCCTGAGGTTGTCCAACGTTCAAGAAAAACTTGCCCTTGCGGAAGGGACCGTCTTGAACACATCCACCACCGGTACGGCCGGTGAGGTTGAACGCATTCTCGGCAGCAGTAGCTGTCAGGAAGGGCTTTCCATTGCCACCAAAACCGTAATCATTATCAAAGATATCCGTCTCGAAGATAGCCATGGAGGAGTTGTCCGTGGCAGATGCGTCGAGAGACCAATTCCAGTATCTGGGAATAAGCTAGTTAGTATTCACATCATGTTCAATCACATCAACGGGCTGTCAACACTTACGGCTGGGCACCCTTGTAGCCGCAGACCTCTCTCAGGTACCGCTCGTAGGTGGCGGTAAAGTATCGATGCCATAGCGCGAAGAAGCCCTAATGAACTGTGATCAGCATGATCGACAAGATACTAACAAAGCCAAGAGAGGGCTGAGATTGTCCGTGGGACTTACCACCCAGTGGATGTCACCGTTCTGCTCCGAATGAGTTGCTTGGAAACTTTGAAACAAGTTGGTGGCATTTTGAAGGCCCCCAGTGACGTCGGGCTTACGGGCCAAACAAGTCACTGCATTGAGGTAACTCGAACGCTCTGACTTGGTCAACTGTCTCCTGATACAAATTTAGCTTCCTTTCCTGAGAATGTGTTATGATGGGACAGTCCTTACCATTCCTTACGTTGAGGAGGGTTTTTGCATCGAGCAGCCAAAGACTCCCCTGTCAAGAGCAGAACCCCGAACGACAAAAGCAATTTGGAAATATGCATCTTGGCTTTTGCTTTTTCTAAAACGTACAAAATTCCACAAGCTCGTTTGCAGGAAACAGCGGGCAAGGACTTCGTCTTATGAGGGATTACTTGTTGGAAAGGGGGAGGAGAGGCTATCACTTGTTCGGCAGTCGATACCGAAGCACTAAGGACGGCTCTTCGAGAGAGGCTTGCTAGCTCGTTGAGCTAGATGCGTGGCGAGATGAACAAAAGCCATTCATCTAACCTATTCTGCGCGCGAGCGGAGCCTCAGGAGCTAATATATCGATCCGCCAATTAGCATGCGTGAAGTTCATGCAAGTCCACGTTGCCCAGACTAAACGATCGAGCTTCTCCTTCGGCAAAGTCTCTTGGTGGGGGCGGAAAATCTGATATGGCGTGACATGGCATGATCTCTAGTGGGCCTCTGCGATATTAAGCTACTGTAATAAACTAAAAAAAGGGCAAAGAATCGTAGTATTGAAAGTGGACGAGGTATCATGGTGCTACATACATAATGAAGGATGAATCTCCAGAGAATCTACCCGAGGTTACGTCGTCTAGACCCCGCCGCATCGGTATAGTCCTCAAAATATTTCATCCGAATCATACTAAATAATCTGAATGAAGGATGCAGACCCCTGCCCCGCCAAGACCCTTAGATCGCACGGGCGCCAATTGGAAATCGGGGGGATCCTGGCCAACTTCACAGCCTTGGGACTAGCTTCCGCCCGCTCATGGGCCTAGAAAATCACGCCCACACGGCACCCACGGCCAGTACATATTGTGCAGATCTCTCCATCTTGGGAAAGTACGGATACGAGTCAGACATTTTGAATCCTTCGCTGGAATATCCAGCCATAGAGACTGAAAGCTTTAGTGCCTTTGGCTAGTATACGCGCGATCCTTGAGAGCCTAGACTAAGAAAAAGCAGGCTGAACTTTATAGCAAAGTTTGATCGGCTACGAAAATGGAAACAGCGCTAGCAAACATCGCAATTATGCCTTTGCCCGGCATAGTTACTCCGTATCGGGATTAGATAATGGTGGCGCGGATGACTTCTGGTATCCCTGTCCATGACTTGTTGTAGGGAGATTCCAGGGCCAAGTCACCGAATCCTATAAGCCAAGACTCGATCCTGTTGAGCCATGGGGACAAGTCCTCGCTGTCACTGTTAGCCTCATGACATTTCACCGTCGCTCGAGTTCGTTTGGTCGATCATGTCCTACATCTCAGCGAGTAATGGCTCGCTCCAGCCAGCGTTCCTGGTAGTCATGACATTTTTGCTACTACTCTCGACAACCAGCGTTCTTCTAAGGCTATATTGTCGCACTTTCCTGGTGCACAAGGTCGGTCCAGATGATTATCTCATCCTGAGCGGGTTGATCGTCACGATTGGAATGGGAGTTATGAATGCATTCCACGTCAGCTTCGGGACAGGGTGAGCCAAATCTGTCTGTCAATCTCAATCTCATGGACACGTGCACTGATATCTTATACTTTCAGACGACACATTGCAGATCTACCTCTCGAGAAGATCCTCATCCCGACTCTTAAACATTGGTATGTGTACCAACTTATCTACCCACTTTCAATCGGACTCGTCAAGTTTAGCATCTTGGCGCAATACTATCGGATCTTCGCTGTCAATCGCTTCCGACAATGCATTATTGGAGTGGGCCTCTTTGTATTCGCGTATACCATCGTTGTGGTCTTCGTCAATGTAAGCAACATCTTATTTCCTGCCTTATAAGGTTACCTGCTCACGTTGATCATATTAGGCCTTCGAATGCCACAGCAAACCCTGGAGAGCATGGGACCCAACGTTCCCAGAGGGATGCAACAATCTACCCGCTGCATACTTCTCAACGGCCGGAATCAATATTCTCACAGATCTTGTCATCCTGGTGATGCCCTTACCGCTGATTATGAAGCTGAACCTGCACCGTCGAAGAAAATGTAAGACGGGCAACAGCAAATCTAAACAAACAATCCGACCACGAATTGACGTACATAGATGCCCTCATTGCCATTTTTCTCAGCGGGACATTTGCATCTGCAGCCTCAATCGTCCGTCTAAACGGTCTATATAAATACACCGTCACAGACGACGTATCCTACGACGCGATCCAGGTACCCAAACTCATCCCTCCTCCGACTTTCTCATTTCTCCCAAATTCTAACCAATCTCTTCCCAGATCCTCTTCTGGTCCCAAATAGAAGTCAACGTTGCCATCATCTCCGCCTCAGCCCCCTCCCTCCGTCCCATGTTTGCCACAATCTTCAAAAGCTCATCCTACGCCCGCTCATACGGTAACACCTTCAACGGTCCTTCTAATAATCTCTACGGTGTATACGGGTCGAGATCCCAGCACCGTAGAACGATCAGATCCGGGACGGTGGGGGCTATTGAGCTTAGCTCTCGGGATGATGAGGCTTATAATGGGGTCGAGGTGAATATCTCGGGGGCGACTGCAGGCAATGGTCGTCATGGTAGTGAAGAGAGGATTTTGGGTCCAACTTCGAATATCACCAAGACGGTTGTGGTTGAGATGAAAAGTGAGCTGGCGAACTAAGATTGGTTGAAAAAAGGACATGAAGGCTAGCTGGATCTATGTGGTAACTCTAACACAAACAAAATATTCTTTAATTTAATTTCGGTATAGTGGCATACCTGTGGACACTGTACCTTCTCACGTGTTAACTTGGTGCTAAAATAGTTCTTTTTCGTGGAAGTCTCTTGTTTACTCACCGCTCCTTCCTCGAGGAGATAACCCGCATCGCCTAATTCTCCAACAAACAGAGCAGGCTTAGTCTTTCAAGGAAGCCAAAAGCCCCTGACTAGCTCTCATCTAGGGGCTAGGGGCTAGGGACTAGCTCATTTTAGTGCATACGATCCGACTACAAAGGTCCCAAACATTCATAATGAACAAAGTTGATCCTAAGCGATTTGCATATGGTATCTTAAAACGCAAGCCGTCAAAGTCCAAGCATTCCCAAGCACCAGAAACTTGCCGACGCCTGTGAACTTAAAAGGAGCTAAGCAGAAGCCGTGACCAAGAACATAAGAGCAATGCAACCGGGAAAGAGAAAAAGAACGCCCCCTTAAATCACCCCATGGCGAGCCTTGAAAATGGATATCTTGTCATCGTAAAAGAGAATTTCCTGCAGCCGGAACTGTACTCGGGATACACCCTCCTCGTCCTCCTGCTCGGTGTCGTACCCGTCAGAGAGATCGCTGGATAGACGGTCCGAGTCGTCTGGTATGCTTGAATTGTGTTCTTCACCCGTTGGACCCATAGAGTCGTCCTCTAACATTCCGTCATCGTCGGGATTTGAATGGTGATCAATTCCGAGGGTTTCGTCAAAGTACGGCTCGCTTCCATCACGGCCACCTTCGAGGATCTGGTAGCATCTAGCTTGTAGACCGATGTAGGTGATTTTCAAGTCAGGACGTATGCTGACGATGTCCAGGACTTGGAGGGCAAGCTCTTTCAGGTCGCGATGGACTGTGTTTCCGATGTGCGTTAGATGGAGAGCATAGAGTCGCGACATATTAGGGAGTCGCTGCAGGAAATGATGCCAGTTCCGGTGGTCCATTGCCATTCCCAGTTCCCGTAGCTGCGGCATACGGCCGCTCGTGACGAATGAGATCATATCTTGGTTGAGCACCCACTTATGCCAGCGATTTGTCATGATGTCGGACCCGGTGTTTATTCGCTCGGATGCGTCTAGGAGTACCTTTCGCAGGCTCAGTCGGTGCCGGCGGAGTATGTGTTTGTAGATGGCGTCAATCGGGACGGATGAATCATAACCGGGCGCTTCTTGCAAATACACGCTCTCTAGAGTGTTAGGAGCAACGGCCTCCTTAATGAAAAGCATCAAATAGGGAGAGACGTTATCTGTCCGCAAGTGCTTGAGGTTAAGTGAGTATTCGGTGACCTCGTGACTTGGGCGACGATCGCAATTTTGCTTGTTTGCCGGTACGGGCGGCGGTGCATATTTTCGGCGTAAAGCTCGCCACAGATTCTCATGTTCAGTACATGCCATTAATGTAAGAGAAGTCAGACGTGTCCACTCAATGGCTGGTAGAAGAGTTGGGATATGTAATGGAACTCGCTCTAACTCAAGAACTTGGAGATTGAGTTTATCAGTGCTCGCCTGAGAGCGATAGTAGGGCGCACGGGGCTTAGGAGTGGACTTGATAACATATGCGGATGATAGAGATCCACCCTCATTGGTTGGTACTGAGAATTGCTGGCCGTCGCCTCGCAATGAGTCTTTCTCTTGTGGAACCTCGTGCTCTCCATCAATAGGGTTTTCCGTTGTTGATAGACAGGTAGAAGGTTCCGAAGGCATCGACTCTTCTGCGGAGGAACTTGTGGAGGTGTCCTCATGCTCAGTCGATTCATCACGCTTCGAGAGAATGCTGAGTACTCCTCCAACCTTTGGCCAGGGCTTGGGGGTGGTAAATGAGATATCCGTGTCCTTAGCACAGCGGACCCACGGTAACAAGCTAGCCTTTAGAGAAATCCCAATCCGCAATTCAGCCAAGCGATGACGGGATCGCTCGATGAGGGTAGCAAGCTCATCCACATAAGCGGATTCGTCTATGTCAAGGACCGTCACGCTTCTAAGCGGTGGCAATACTGATAGTGAAGGGTGTTCAATATGAGTGTTCTTCAGGGTAGTCAGCAACGATGTCAGTAGCGCGGTATTGGGGCGCATCGAATGCTCCGAGTTATCATGCCACCGCACCCAGACTCGTTCCAGTCGGCATTCATGACCCGGTCGGTTAGCGAGTGACGCAAGTGCCAGCCATATCTCACGGACTACCCCCGTTGGCATGTCCCAGATGAATGCCTCCAGATTGACCATCCGCGCGACGGCTAGGGCCACCAGCGTCCCCAGCATCTTGCCCACCTCCCTGTTCACCGAGTATTCCTGGACCCAACTCAGCGGGCCATTGCCAATCGAGAACGTGCGGGTGTATTGCGCATAGTAATTTCCTCGCCGGGAGCGAAACCCGGGGATGATTGCCTGCGTTTCGTGTCCATTTGGCGGGCTAGCGTGATCGCCACAGCCACAATGCGTACAGGTGTGCGAGAACTGGCCAGATCTCGGCATCGGCAATTGATGGAATACATCCTCCCCCATCACCAGCGTGGATAATCCGTAAGATAAGGCGTCTACTCCGGAATATTCCTCGGTCGATGGGTTCAGCGACTCGGGCCAGACAATATCAAAGCGAGAGTACATGTGGGGGATGGTGAGATTATGAAGGGCGGAGCATGTCAGAGCGAGCGAGGTGAGGTCATTCGTGTGTGTCACCTGTTATCAAGCGCGTCCATTAGCTTTTCGTGTTTTGACTTCTGGGCGTTCCTTTTATGATCGATGAACGCCGGGGATGAATGTGACAGGAAAGCTTTACAAACCTCTTTGACAATTTCCTTCAGCACATCCAAAGGCAAATCGAGTAACTCCAATTTTTTTCTCTCAGACTTGGCCATCGAGAAATGAAGAACCGAAGCGTTGGTGTCAGGTGTGAAAGTCCTAGTCGCGCGGTGATCACAACTCTGATTTGAGAGTTGCGGGGTATCAAGGTTGAGCTTTCCAAGTGCGGAAGAGAGAAGTTTTTGAGTGCGAGATTCGGGGTCTGCCGACACCGTGCTTTGACTTGACACAAAGTCCTCCTCGTCTGACGACAACGCCTGATCGGAGACAGGCCGACCAGCCCAATCCGAGCTTGTGTCCGCCATTGAGGGGACGCGGAGGATTTCAGGCGCTAAGTCAGGTTGAGGAGGCGACAGTCAGCGCCAACAGACAGATGAGGCAGGCCAGTGTAAAATCCAGCCCCCGTGTGCCGCGTAGTAGAGCTGGTTGTTGAGGGGCAAATTGAGGGAAGGTAAGGTCTGGGGATGCAATAAGCTAGTGGAGATGAGGCAACGGATCAACCCGTCGGGGCGCGGATCCCGCATCAAAGCGGGGGTTATGTAAGCGCCATATAATCGTCTCCACCTGAAGCTTCGATCCTCGAGAGCGTTCTCGGTGGGAATAGCAGTCGATCGTACCAAGGGCTTAGTGTATGAATGGTTGAAATCATGATCTAATAGCAGTGACATCAAATGGGTAGTATCTGTTGTGAAGCAATAGTGTTGAAGAAATAGCAGAGGTGAGTAACAAACCATGCTAGGGGACACATACCACAATCAAACTGGTTAAACAGTGGAGATTGTTGGCTAACAGGAGTATTGGCGAGCAAAGGGCAATGGTATTGAGTTATAGAGGATAGCAGTGGTTGAATACCGGTGGTCAAAGAGGTAGTAACAACTTGTCATAGCTAATGGTCCCCCGGCCGTTAGCCAATCGAGGGGAATTGAGAGAACCCAATACAGTACCATAATAAAGACGATAGTCTCAACCGATAAAGAATAACAGACAGCTGGGTATTCGACCAGAAGAATTGGAAGGACACTCAAGCTTTAGAATAGCAAGAACATTACGTAGATCAGAAAAATCCAAAGTCAATCAAATTGAAGATAATCCGTCTATCAAGAAGTTGAAACCAATACAGAACATTTTTGAGAAGAAAGATGCATGCCTCCAATACGTCTCTCCTCCTAGGCATCACCCATCACCTCCCTTTAATCGTCACGACCCAATTTCTCCAAATTCATGGCAGCACTAACACAAGCAAGATGACTAAATGCTTGAGGCGTATTTCCCATCTGCTCACCGGAAATGGCCACTTCTTCAGAAAACATGCCCAGATGATTCGAATAAGACAGAATATTGTCAAAGTGCGAGAGCGCAAGTTTCCAAAGGTTCGGAATGGGGACATCGTACTTTGCGGCCTATGTATTCGAGGGTAGATTCACGGTTAGCGAAGAAAGGGGAAATGGCGTTGGAATTGGAGCGGGAATTGAAGTTGTAAAGGGTTATTGGGGTTGCACGGTAAAAGGTTGGTGAGCACTTACACGGGCCATTGCTTCGACGAGCCAGAAGGTAACCATGATGAAAGCGCCCTCTCCTCCACCGACGCCTGTGCGACATGAGTATCAGTAACGGGTCCGGTGGGAGAAGAAGAACATATAGCCGGGGAGGCGTAGTACTTACCATCATTCGCTTTCAAGTGGTCATATCGGAACACCATCTTGGCGCTGGAGAGGCCCTCTTTCTCCGGGCTTTGCAGAATACGCTTAAGAGTACTGATGAATCGTGGATCATTGGGTGCTACGAAGAAAACCAATGGCGCGATGAGAATCGACGCATCGAGAACCTCTCGACTCTCGTAGCTCTGACAGAAATGGCCTCGCTCGGTGTTGTACCCTCTGTCCATAATCTCGTCGTACAATTCATCTCGCACTTGGACCCACTTGAATCGGTCTGGGCAGGGCAGACTGGATCGCTTTTCTGCCAAGCGGATGCCACGATCCAGGGCTACCCACATCATGACCTTAGAGTAGATGAAGTTTTGGATTTGACCTCGGCTTTCCCAAATGGACATGTCCTTTTGGTGTCTTACGCCAATGACGTAGTTCACCATGCGGCGAATTGCAGCCCATTGGTCATATGTGATTGGGTTCCCGTGCTTGTTGTAGAGGTAGATGCTGTCCAGGAGTTCGCCGTAGATATCGAGCTGCGTATGGAAGACAGCCGCGTTGCCAATGCGGACGGGCTTGCTACCCTTGTACCCGTCAAGGTGTTCCAGCTCCAGTTCGGGAATGTCGTACTCGCCACGGATAGTGAGCATCAGCGGCAAGAAGGGTCGCTTGCTTCCCGGCTCAATGTCCTGCGCGGCATGCGGGAAGATCCGTTCAAAGATAAAGTTCACATAGTCCTCCGCCTCAGAGCTGTATCCCATTTTCAGGAAGACGTACAGTGTAAATGCTGTGTCGCGCACCCAGGAGTATCGGTAATCCCAATTGCGAGACCCGCCCACATTTTCAGGGAGTGAGAATGTAGGCGCTGCAACTATAGCCCCCGTCGGTTTGTAGGTGAGTAACTTCAAGATCAAGAGACTTCGCTCTACGGTCTCTCGATAGTGCCCACGGAATGCACACTTCCGAGTCCAATCAGTCCAGTAGTCAGACGTGTCTTCCTCCATCTTTAACAGATATGCTGCCATTAGAGCCGTACCCGGCACTGCCTTCTCGGGACTATGCAGCACGAAGTGCACCGTTTGTCCCTCGGACAGGGTAATCAGGGCCACAAGTCCGCGACCCTTTGCCCCCGCTCGCTCCTCGATGCTGAAATGAGCCTTGGGGAGCCCCAGCTTGTCTGGCTCCCGTGAATCGGCAAAGATGTCGAGCTGCAGCCGCTCCGACTCACTCTCAAAATGGACAGTCTGGCACTGGTGCTTGCTCATGTCGTTTTCCAACTTTGCACGAGCGATATGCGTGTCCCGCGCATAGTTAAAAGCCGGGAACAATTCCACCTGTAATTCCATGGAGCCTCGACTGCACTCGAGCTTTCTGATCAGACCCGAGTGCTGCAGCCCCGACTTGAAGCGGTTGGCCCCAGGCTCATTGCATGGGCAATAGCCCGAGAGCAGTCGGCCTGACTGAGCCACCTTTTTGGGCGTCACCGGAAAGTAGTCCAGCAGAGTCACGACACCTTCTTCATTGGTCCAGCGTGTTTCGAGCAGATTTGAATATGGTAGATACCGCTGTTTATTGTGCGGATCAGCCACTGCCTTGGAAGGCTCCACGGACCAGAAGCCGCCCTTTTTCTCATCCAGGAGACGACAGAAGACCGTGGGGGAATCAAACACCGGCCAACACATATACTCTAGACTACCAAGCTTGCTGACTAGGGCACATGTGTGCATGTCCCCGATCAAACCATAGTCCTCAATGGCATTATAGCAAGGTTTCTGTGCCATGATGACAAACCAGGATGAAGAAGAAGAAGAAGAAGAAGAAGAAGACCGGGTTGGTGAAACAAGTGATGTATGATTCAAGCGAGGATGCGGCTTCGCAGCAGTCGATTTCAGATGGACAGAATGGCTTGAGTACTGATACAGACAGCAGCAGAATGTGAGCGAGGTTGAAGTAGTGCAACCTCAGTCGACCGTAACTACTTTAAGCCAGGGGGCCCATATATGGCCCCGGTGCACGCACGAGGGGCCCAGAAGGCAATGACATGATGATGAGAATGGATTTGGATTGAGGTCATATCGATGTCTGAGCGGTCCTGTGGATCGTGGCAGGCTATTGGAGGGAGCCGCTCTCGTACCCTCAGAGAGCCCCATCGTCATTATGGCAAAGCCCATTCATCGGGCAAATATGTATGGCAGCACCCGGTGCGGCTATATATGCAGCTTTTTTCAATTGATGACTCTCTCTCGGGTCCATCGCGGTCCAGTCTGCCAAGCACCAGCGGATCTGCAGCAATCTATGAGCCGTGAGACTTCGGGCAGCCATCTGTTTCAAGATGGGCCACCGCTTGACCGTCTTCCAATCTCTACGAGCTCCCCCAGCTTCAGCCTGGCAACCGGCGATAACCAGCACTGCCAAGCAAGCCTCGTCGGAAGTCACAGTCCGCCAATAGTAGCGGGGTAAGCCCACGGCTCGGACTCTCAGCATTAATCCGTGGGACAGTTGTGCCCTCTGGACCCCGGATCGACAGGACGGTGGAGCCAAAGCTGGGTGGAGCTGTCCTGGCGGCCAGTGAGAAACCACAAACGGGATGGAGGAGATTAAGAGAGGAGAAAGAGGGAAAAATAGGAAAAAAGGAGCAGGGAAGGAGGCCGCCGAAAGGGCCAAATCATGAAAGGCCTTCAGGCTCAAGGGGGACCCTCACGGGTGAAGTGAAGCACCGCAAAAACAAGGCCCCGAATGACGCCCAAGGGCCTTAACTCTCCTCCCTCCATCACTCCCGCTGCTATCTGCGATCTGCCTATTTTGCCCCCTTCAACCGCCTACAGAGTCGGCGTTTCTTCAACTTTTAACTTTATCTCCCTCCGACCACTATTCCCCCCTCCCCGCGTGACCCTTCCTTTCCTTGTCTTTCAAGCTCTTCACTTTCCTTTCATTCTTCGTTACCTCGAGGGCTTTGACCGTGTCCACCACCGACCACACGTCTTTGCCGAGCCGTATCTCTCCCTCTCTCTCTCTCCTTAACTTCCTCCGCGCAACGAAAGGGTGCGCGGTCGTGTGTGCACACTCCCCGGTCGCACCCTCATGGGGCTGACACAACTTGATCCGCCTACCTCTTCCTCCTCCCTTCCGATTCTCATTTTCACGTCGGCTCGATAATGGGCTTATCTCCCGCTGGCACCGGGCACCACCGACGGCGGAGCTCGATGCTCACGGGCGCAACTCGTTCCATGCAGCCCGGCGCCTCGGAACGGAGGGATGATAGTCTGCGACCGCATGGAGAAGGAACTCCAAGCAAATGGGACGAACAGGAGCCCTTGACGGCCGAGGATACCGATTCCTCTGAGCTGTCCTCCTTGGCCGTGGAAAATCGGGAGTTGGATGTGATGAGTTCGGACGATGACCAATACGACGAGGAGACCGGTCTCACAGCAAACCAGAAACGTCAGCGGCGACGACGGCGTCGACAACGTCGCAAGTTGGACGCTCGTATCGCCGACGTCAAGTCGTCTCGATTCGGTCTGCCCTCGCTAGGGTTAGCTGATCGTAACGTCGCTCGCAAGTTACTTGCGAATGCTGGGTTGATCCTACTGTGGTACTTTTTCTCCTTGTCCATCTCCATCGTAAGTGCTCCATAGTATCATTTTCTTTTTATCGGTGTCGGATGGCTCGAGGAGAACAATAATGTGATAGCTAACAAGGTTGTGTTTGCCCTGCAGTACAACAAATGGATGTTCTCCGAAAATGATATCGTCTTCCCCTTTCCTCTTTTCACCACCAGCCTGCACATGGCTGTCCAATTCTCTCTCGCCGCTCTATTGCTCTGGATATTTCCTTCCCTACGCCCTCAACATCCCCCGGGGTCACCCTCAGCATCGCCCATCGAAGGCTTCAAGGAGTCTGAACCGGTGCTCACCAAATCCTTCTATATAGCACGCCTCGTTCCTTGCGGCGCTGCGACATCACTCGATATCGGCCTCGGCAACATGTCCCTCAAATTCATCTCCTTAACATTTCTTACCATGTGCAAATCATCTGCACTCGCCTTCGTTCTTCTCTTTGCTTTCCTTTTCCGCCTCGAGTCTCCTTCTGTCAAACTGATCGTCATCATCGCTACAATGACAATCGGTGTGGTGATGATGGTAGCAGGCGAGACCGCTTTCAATGCACTTGGATTCAGTCTAGTCATTGCGTCTGCGTTCTTTTCAGGTTTCCGATGGGGCCTCACACAGATTCTTCTCCTTCGCCATCCGGCTACCTCCAATCCATTCTCGACTCTCTTTCTTCTTACGCCCGTCATGTTCTTCTCTCTTCTCGCCATCTCACTTGCGGTCGAGGGCCCCAACGATATTCACTACGGTTTCCTCACTCTTGCTGAGCAGCGGGGAACCTTGTTCGGGTCGTGCCTGTTGATCTTCCCTGGTTTCCTCGCCTTTTGCATGATCTCCTCCGAATTTGCCCTGTTGAAACGTTCGTCCGTCGTCACTCTCAGTATCTGTGGAATTTTCAAGGAAGTCGTCACGATTAGTGCTGCCGGTGTCATCTTCCATGATAAGCTCACGGTAATCAACATTACCGGCTTGGTGGTCACTATTGGTAGCATCGGATGCTATAATTATATGAAAATCTCCAAGATGCGCAGTGAAGCAGAGGATGACGACTGGCACCGTGATGGGACGCCAGACTCTGACTCGGACGACGTTAGCGGTGGCGAGTTTGGAGACTACCACCGTGTCACCGATCCCGAGACGGGTGCCATCCCTACGGCGCAATACGATGATGATTTACAAACATCTTCAGTCGGTGACCAGCGACGCTCGTTCCGTGTCCGCGCAAGTGGCGCAAGTGGCGCGATGCACAACCTGTCGATTTCCACTACCATTCCGGAGGACGAGATCGAGGCGCCCATTAGATCCGCGCCTCCAACGATCACCACCATGGCCGAGGCTGGATTCCCCACCCGTCTCTACGCCTCCGATCGGGAGGATTCCCCGGTCGTTCATTCTAACTCTTCGGCCTCGCCGATGCGAACCCAACCCCCGTCTCACCCTTAGTCCTTCCAATCTCACTCCATTCTCGACTACAATAACCTCTCCCATCCGATTTGTTATATGCTATCTTAGAGTGGCGTCTTGTACCCGCGACACCACCGCACGGCTTCGGCTCCTTCTTCGCCTGATGAAAGGTCTGGGACCTGGATAGAACAAGGCAGCCACGGACGTGATTGTGGGTGGATATGCATGTCGCTGGGGTAATCGATGTACACGCTGACTGGTTCTCATGAAGTACTATGGCTGGGGGTTGGTAAGGGAAGTGTCCTGTCTATGATTGCATGGAGGCTACTGGATTCATTGAAGAGCGGTGGCTTGCCTGATACCATCAATTCGATTTTCTTTTCTTGAGGCCATATTGGCTGGCCTCTTTATTATTGGATATTCAATACAATCAATATAACGATGCTTTTTACTTTTGTCCAAGAAGATGTCCCGGGCGACGCTCGCTCGTATACTTGCTTATATTGTATTCGAAATAAAGCCCTCAGTGCATTACTCTGGACGTGTCCATCCCACCCCTCACCAGCTACCCAACCTTACCCTTCTTCATCATATCCATAAGACTCTTCTGCCCCTTCTCCTTCGCCTTCGCCTCTTTCTTCTTCTCAGTCTCCAATTTCCTCTCATACTGCTCCAATTGCTTCTCCCGCATCTCCCTCCCCTCCTCCGCTAGCGTCTTTTCCAAGGCCCTAAACTCTTCTCCCTCCGGATCCATCCCAATCAACGACTCCAACAACTTAATCTCCCGCGCCCACACCCCATGATCGGGTACCGCAGCCGGCGAAGCACCAGCCGGACGCTTCCCGCCCTTCTTGGCACCCTTTTTTGGCTTTTTCTCAGACTCGCTGGCGCAACTGTCTGCGTCGTCGTCTGCCGTCGAGGAAGCGGTTTGTCCGGGGACACGGTCAATAGGCGTTTCCAGGACCATGGGTAGACCCTCGAAGCGCGGCTCGTTCATGACATTGTGGAACGCGCGGAGACCGAGGAAGCCCGTGCCGATGTTCGCATGTAGATCGCGTTTACTTCCGCGCGGAGCTTTGGAGTCGTTCAGATGCAGGGCGCGGAGGAATTGGAGGCCGATAAGGTTGTCGAATTCGGTTAGGAAGGCTTTGAAGCCCTCCGGTGAGACGAGGTCGTAGCCTGCGGCGAAGCTATGGCATGTGTCGATGCAGATGCCGATGCGGGAGTGGTGCTCTTGCGGGATTAGGGCTAGTAAGTCACGGAATTCGGAGAGGGAGCCGCCGATTGTGTTGCCGTGGCCACACATTGTTTCTAGCACGGGGATTACGGTGGTTGTTTCGGCGAGGGCCTTTGTCAGGGAGGATGCTAGGCGGGCGAGGGCTTCGGGGAGGGGGGTTTGGTTGGTGCTTCCCGGGCTGGTCCGGCGTGTTAATATGAGAATGGAGATCGGGGGTTTAAGAGGGATATTGGGAGGTGGGCGTACTGGAAGTTGTAGAGTTTGATGCCCAGCGCTTCACAGCGACGAAGGTCATCCAGGAACGAGTCGTACGCTTGCTTGGCCTTCTCCTTGTCGTTCTGTGCCAAGTTGACAAGATAAGACCCGTGCGGCAAAATGTGCCTATGATGCGTTAGAGACCAAGTGTTTTAATGATGATAAGGGACACTCACTTGGCTGCATCATAGTTCTGCTCGGCGCACAATTTGCGGAACTGATCTCGTACATCATCCTGGAGAGGCGGGTTCTCCCATTTTCTCTGCGACTTGAGGAACAGTGCAAAGGCGTTACCTCTAATGACAGTCATTAGCTAGATGTTCAAATGCAACGGATGTGCTTCACCACTTACCCGATCTGTGTACTATTGGTGATCGAGTTGAATACACCTGCTCGGAAGACACCTCGATTAGCTCCTCAATACGAAATTCCAATTGTGACAAGCACTCACCCTTTGCGGCGCTGACATGGGCACCAACGAACATCTTCAGCCCCTGAGTCCGAGGTGCTAGCGGCATGGCTTCGGCTTCCTTCTCTTCCTTGGTCTTTCTAGCCTTTTTGGCAGGCTTCGTTTGAACGGTTGAAGCTGTTCCGATCTCGGTCTTCGCTTCGGTATCGACTCCTCCAGTCTTGACAGCGGGTTCTTTCTTGGCAGCAATGACACTGGAAGCAAGTTCCGTCTCTTGGATGGCCTCTTTCTTGACCGATGATGCAATTTGAGTCTTCTTTGCCTTGGTAGCCTTGGGCGTAGACTTGGCGCTGGACGCTTTCTTCGGCGTGGAAACTACCTCGTCTTCAACTTCTGACTCTCCGCTAGATGAAGCCTCTTTTAGATTGGCGGTGGACCTTTGCCGTTTGGATCGTCTCAATGGAGAGTTATCTGGTGTCCCATTGCTCAGGTTCCTTTTGTGACTGCCCTTGGCGGCTGAGGCCTGCATTGAGGATTGAGTCGTCGGGTGAGCTGCTGTAGGCGATGTCTTGTCTTTGGACAGCATAGACATGACTCTATTGCATAGAGTTGGCCTTGGAATTGACGTTGGGAGCTTTTGATGGAGACGGATAGCAATTGGGTAAAATTGATGGGTCTGGAGCTGATTGGGTGCGGTTGTGGGGAAATTACAAGAACTGCCACTGGCGGGTGCGCTACGATCACTCGTTTCGAATGAATTTAGGATCGAAGATGCGGCTGAGTGACCCGATAGCTGAAGTTTAATCCTCTCTCCTTATCAGAGAGATTTCTTTTTTGGTAGTCATCTTCTTTTTGCTCAATTATCCAGGGTCATGGGTTCCTCATATTGAAGTAATGGTCACGTGTTCATCACCGGGGTAACAGGTCATGTGATGTTTATCGATAACCCGATTCGCCGTTTGGGAGCAAACGGTCGGAATCTCGTCTTGTCTTGTGTGGCCCAAACCCCTCGCCAATTCCCACAAAACGTTTGTCGGCATTCCGCACAGGTCAGATCTGGCCAAAGATCTCGGCAAAATGGCGGCTTCCAACGATCTCATCGACTTCGACATTATCGAGGCCCAGAAAGAGAATGTCCAGTCCCTCCCCGGCGGCAGATCAGCCCGTGAACTGGCCCGGATTTTCTCTGGAGGCAGCACGAGCGATAAATTGTCGACACCTTCCCCAAACGACACAAGGACCATCAATGGTGCCATTCGCCAAGAATATGAGAATGAACTAGAATCAATAGGAGAATCGGACGATCCACTCGATGTTTACGACCGCTACGTGAAATGGACCTTGAACGCGTACCCGTCTGCCCAGGCTACGCCTGAATCTGGGCTTCTCCCGCTGCTTGAACGTGCCACCAAGTCGTTCCTGTCATCGTCACACTACCGAAATGACCCGCGGTACCTTCGGTTGTGGATGCACTACATTCGGCTCTTCTCCGATGCCCCGCGTGAGACCTTTGCATTTCTCGCACGACACCACATCGGCGAGGGACTGGCGTTGTTCTACGAGGAGTTCGCTGCCTGGCTAGAGGGCGCCGGGCGTTGGACACAGGCCGACGAAGTATATAGGCTTGGTATGGACCGCGAGGCTCGGCCAGTTGAGCGGCTTGCGAGAAAATACAGCGAGTTTCAGCAACGATATGAGCAGCAACCACAGGATGTCGGGCCATCTTCACCTGCTCTCCCCGCTGTCAGACCCGCACTGGCAGCTAAGACGGACCCATTCGCCTCTTCAGATACTGCGGAAAACCCACAAGCCTCACGGTCGTCAGCACAACCTGCTGCCCCTACCAAGACGAAGTCTGGGAAAATGAAGATGGCGATCTTCTCCGATGCCGAAGCAGCACAGTCGAGTCAGCCGGCAACTAGTGGACAGGCGAAGGGCTGGGACAGTATCGGATCGATGCGAGAGCGTAGGAAGGAAAACGAGGTAGAGGCCAAGCCTTGGGCGGGGGAGACATTGAAGGCGGGGAAGAAACCGGTGCCATCGCAGAAGATGGCCATTTTCAGGGACGAGGTGAGTTTGCAATACCAAATTGCCCTTTCCTTCCTCTTCTTCACGGACCTTCCGAATATTTACGATCACAGGACTAATTGCTGGCCTGAACCTTTGTGTTTTGATTGTGTGTATACAGTCCAATCTAAATCCACCTTCAGAACAACCAAGTGCCACCAAGCACATTCCAGAGCACCATGTAAGGGAGGCGGTAAACCCACGAACCGGTCGACGTGAGCGTGTTTTCGTCGATCTTGAAGCAGTATATCCCGACCACAGAGATCCAACGCAGGAAGTTAGTTTCGAGGAGTTGCGAGCGATGAAACGGGGTTGGATGAATAAGAATTGGCATCAGCATAAGGAGCCTCTGAAGCAAATCTCAGGCAATGCGGCTGGGGATGCTCAGCCGACGAAGCTGAAGGTGTTTAAGGACCAGCCACTGAGCGAACAGTTGGAGCAAAAGCCGGCTGGTGATGCACAACCATCTCAATTGCAGCACCAGGATGGATCTTCTGAAGGCAAAGCTGGAAAAGCGAGAAAGTTCAAGGTGCAGGGAGAAACGCAGACTAGTGAGTACGATCTGGCCTAGACTTCGTGTTCAAAAGGCTAACGAGTTTTATCCAGTCAAAATGAAGTTCGACTCGCCGACGAGCTCCAAGGCCCGAAGGAAGAGCACTCGAGAGCCAACGATGACTATGCATACCCGGGCAGCAACGGATGAGATATACGGCATCTTCAATCAGCCATTGAAGGCCGAGATGGACGATGCTGCTGATAGTCTCTATGGCAGCGAGTATGAGGATGAGGACTGTGCAAGTACTGTTGATAGTACAGGCACGGGCCACATCTCCGCAGCTTCGAGTGACTTTGGCGATGATGAGACGCATACATTCCATAAATCTTATGATGACACAGAGTATGGTGATGGTAACACGACAAGAGCCGACAGCATCGCTGGAGGCGATTGGACGGAATTCAGCGTCAGCAAGGATGTCCCTGGGGTTGAATCTGCCGACGCTACCTCGCATTCCGTTGTGAGTCAGGGAGAGGTCGAATCAGAGCATGGTACACCCGAGAAGGAGCGGTTCATACCTCGAATGCCTGATGACTATAACCCTCCCTACGGAACGTATCGCGATCCTGCTATTATGGCGCAAAACCGGCTGCCATTCATGACGCCTATCGTGGAACGAACCGAATCTTCCATCTCAATGACAGCAGCTAGGAGTCTTTACAATGCAAAGACTCCGTCAAAACCAAGGTCACCCTCGGGTGTGCCGCAAATGGGTGACCTGCTTTCCAGTGAATTTGGGGCAACGACCCCCCACCATGGGGATCACACCGTCGGCTCGGCAGTTGATGTTCCTTTTAGTCCGACTGCCTTCAAAGCCCTTGCCCCAAAAGCTCGCCGACGAGAAGCAATCATCAAGGACTTACAGTGTAATCCAACCGAAAAGGGCATTCGCAATACTATTTTGAACTCTCTGGAACCCCCGCTTGCTGCCTATCCGGGATATCATGGCCACGTCCAAGATAGCAACTACGCGAGCATGATTCAGAAATTTGTCAAAGCGCACAACCGAAAGTCCCGAAGTGCCGATGATGATCGCTTCGAGACGCCTACGCTCGATTTCCTCGGTGCTGAGCGTAGCTACATCATCCGCCGTGGACTAGGCGCCGGCGCGTACGCCCCCGTCTACCTCGCCGAAAGTGTTGATCACCAACGATCCTATGGCTCCGACTCGGACGAAGAGGAAAGCATCAAGTCGAACCCCTACGACAGCGCTCGATACCCCTTCGAAGCAGTCAAAGTCGAAAACGGGCCCTCCAGCGCCTGGGAATTCTACATGATCCGCACAGCCCACGAACGTCTCCGCAACGCACCACAACACACCCGTGCTGTGGACAGCATAGTCCGTGCACACGAGCTACATGTCCACCCGCGCGAAAGCTTCCTCGTCGAAGACTACCGCGGCCAAGGCACACTCCTCGACCTAGTCAACATCCTACGCAACGACTCCATCAGCTCAACGCACCCCAGCGACGGCGGCCTAGACGAGTCCCTCGCAATGTTCTTCTCAATCGAGCTATTCCGCACAATAGAAGCACTCCACGCCACAGGAATCTTACACGGCGACATCAAAGCGGATAACTGCCTCGTCCGTCTAGACGACTGCCTCCCCACAGACCCACCCACAAAAGCCCTCTCCCTCCTCGACCTAGGCGACGGCTCCACATCAGCCACTAGCCCGCGCGATACCCCCGCATACGCACCATCCGGCGCCTTCGGTTGGCGCGCCAAGGGTCTAGCGCTAATAGACTTTGGTCGCGCAATCGACATGAACGCCTTCCCGGCTAGCGTCCAATTCCTGGCAGATTGGGAATCGGAGACTCACGAGTGCAACGAAATCCGCGAAGCACGTCCCTGGACCCATCAAATCGATCTCTACGGCATCGCGGGCGTGATTCATATCCTTCTTTTCGGGAAGTATCTTGAAAGCACGCCCGTGCGTCCGAGCGATGCCGGGACCAGTGCTGCTGCTGGTACTCGAACGTATCGTATCCGTGAATCGCTGAAACGATACTGGGAACGCGAAATTTGGGGCGACGTCTTTGATTTATTGCTCAATCCCGGTGCGGAGCGGTGGGTTGCCATGGAGGGCGGTGACATCGCCGGTTCTGGTCCCGTGTTGCCGGTTCTCAAGTCGATGGCCTATGTGAGGGGCAGAATGGAGGAGTGGCTTGCTTGCCATGCAGAGAAGAAGGGTCTTGCATTGCACATTAGACGGATTGAAACTGTTCTTGCGGAGAGGAAGAAGAAACTTGAGCGTGTTTGAGGGTCGGTTGAACTTCTTTTCATCTGAAATGGTTATGTTTCGGTTTTCTCTTTTCGGATTTCGTTGGAGATCGGAAAGTTCGACTTTTTGTTTGATTGGTGGGTTGGGTGAGGACGGTTGCGATTTTTGCTTACTTTGTATGATATTTCGGTTTGCTTAGAGTCTTTATACCCCCTTTTGCTATTATCTTATTTTTGCATACATGCTCAACCGTGTGATGATGATTATTCCTGATGTTTAAGATTTAATATGGATAGATAGCGTTGCGTTGGTTCCTGGAGATGCACTACTTTTTTCCATTCCCTACGTCCTCTAGCAACTCTAACCGTTACCGTTTGCTTAAGTACATGTCAAACCATCATGTACTCGTATGTCTACACATCTAATATTTATACAGTCACAAATTTGGAGAAGAGAAGAGTAAAGTTAAATTCAACGAATCAATTCCATCCATCATCACGCTAGAAAAAGAAATCCCAGATTCGCAAACAAGACAAAGATCACAGAGTTCCTAGATCTAATCACTGAATATCAAGCAACGCAGATGATGAAGCCATGGAGAAGATTCGCTGGAAAGGATAAAAATAGGCAACAGCGTGGAGCATCAAGCAAGGCAAGACAGGGTAAGGCTCTGGATGCCACGACTGTCGTAGATAGAGGGCTCAAGTGCTGAAACACGAGCGAAGATGCAACGCATAGCAATGCAATATCGATATCGAGAGGGGAGACGTGCTTGGCGGGTGTGTTAGACGGGCGAGAGCAGAGCAGAGTAGCTTCAATATACGGTCCATGATCTTGGGGGAGTCTTGATCAGGAGTACATCTGCAACTGCATGTAAATGATCAAAATCAAGAACAGACATGATCGCGGAAATAGATTAAACCCGTCCTTCACGCGAGCTGAGTCGAGTCGAGAAAAGAAATGAAAAAATATGAATAAGTTCTCATCAGACGAGCGAAAGATGACAGATGAGAACCCGAATAGAAGCAAAATGGAGTTGAAAATAGAGCTCGCTGGCATCAAGGTCGAAAGTTGCACAGACATAAGGCACAGATAGGCACAGGCAAAAAGGCGAGGCGGAGCAGATCAAGAGAAGAACGATAACCAAAACACCACGCTGCGTCTCGTCGGAGTCAGGAAAGGGGTCGTTCGTGGGGCGCAACAGGTATTCGAAATCATGTGCGGTCGTTTCGTTTCGGTTCGTCTATTTAATGGGAGTGAAATGGCATATTGTATCGTCATGCACATTCTTTTTTGGGGGGTGAGTTCGGAGACATGGTCATGCATCACCTCAGGAAGAGGTGGTCAAGGTGAAGTCGAGAGCGGATGTTGTTGGCTCCGGTCAGCAAAGCGAGGTTCAGCTATGCCGATGGAGAGGGATTGCCGAAGAGAAATTATGAGGCAGAAGGTCATCCAGTGCGCGTCGTGATGCGGGGTGCAGTGTTCAATTCTTTGGCTAGTAGCACATAGACACACGACAACTGCAGACGAAGACAGAAAGAAATATAAGGAAAGTCGAAAGAAAGTGGCTCGCAACTAGGCGAGGGAGTTGCTGACAGTGGTAGTGATGTTTTTTTGGTTTTCAGTTTGAGGATTTTGCGATATTTTTTTCATGGTTTTCGTGATGCAATTTTGTCTGTCCCGTGCCATATAACAATAAGCCACACGGGTCGGAACGGGCAAGTGAAAAGGAAATGAACCAATCGGTCTAGCCGATATGAGAGAGTGTGTGAATGCGCATCAAAGGATGACAGGTACGGATGGAGTCAGATTTGTACAGCCAGAAATTCTGTTGATGTACTGGTTCTTGTCTTCAAATCCACGGCAAACGCACTGGCATCAAAAGACGCTGAAATAAATGGATAGAGGGGGGCGGTAATGAAAGTAAGTCCCAATGGGAGTTGGCTGATCTACTCCTTGAAGAGTCCAATGACGTTCGTTCAAGGAGAGAGACCCGACACGGCGTTTAAGATTGCAACCTTCTCAAATTATGTTGAAGGTTCGTATTATGATATCCAATTTCTCCAATTTGTGGAACAAAACGGATCATAGGCAAGTCAACGCAGTGCAAATCGTCCAACATCCAATAAGGAGGGTGAAAAAGCCCATCACAAGTTTCTCTTCGGTGGCGAGAGTAGGTAAAAATCATGGTAGTGGGAAAGCAGTCGGTTGTTTTTGAGGGAGATCCCAAGCAAGCCAGGTACAGAACACACACTGACAAGTTGCAGAAAAAATCTCGGGCCATCTCAAAGCATATCGTTACATTCGTCAAGGCCGTTGCTGTCATGAAAAATAAAGGCTGCGATTAAAAGAGGGAAGATGCCCGACATGCTTCTCTCGTGTATCGTTCAGGTCGTTATGCAAAGGGTTGAAAAGACAAGGTCGCAAATAGATCGGCACCACAATGCAGTCGGAAAGGTCGAGGAAAAGTTGACAGCGGGGAACAGGCGACAGCAAAACAATAAATCGGGTAGGCGAACACCTACTGGCGCAGGGAGGACATGTTCTGGATCTGCCGGCGAATGCGCTCGGCGTCGGACAAACCCTCCTCAAAAGGGTTCCGCAGCGTCGGTTCTGCAGTCTTCTCTTGCGCCTGGAAGGGAGTCGGATTGGTCGATGTCTCGGCGTACGGCATGATACTGCCTTTGGCAAATGGTTCTGACAGCGAGGGTGCATGTCTGATGAACCGCCCAGGTGCATCTCGACGCTTGAAAGCGGACTCGACCTTGAAAGGTGAACCCAGTCGCTTAATGTTCTCACCGCTGAGATTCAGGAAGTGGTTGATGGGAGTTTTGGTGACGGGTGTGGTCTCCTCGCCTTCAGCTTGGGAGGAGTTGAGAGACGAAGGAGGTGAAAAGAGCTGGTCGACATCCCGGGGTGCAACGGCACCAGAGGTAGTAGCACCGCGGTTACGAACTCGAACTCGGCCCTTGCCAATGCTTTGGAACTTGTTCTCGCGCAGGAAATGCTCCAAGCGAGTCTGAACATCTTCGTCCTGGTCTTCATTCTGGGCATGCACATCGCTCGTGAACACGTCATCCATGTCTCGTGGAGTATTCTCCAGGTTGGTGGTGCGACGTGGACGGCGGTTAGGAACATGGATCGTCTCGCGTCGGGCTGACTGGGGAACATCTGTGGCATGACGGCGGGAACCCCCCGGTCCCCATGTGCTGTACACGAAAGGTGATCCCAACCGTGGGGGCAAGTTATGAGGATCAATTGCGGGGAATTGATGGAGCTGAGTGGGAGGTTGAGGTGCTGAGCAAGTAGGCAAGGCTGTGGGCACAATAGCGTTGTTGAACCAGCCTGATTCAGAGTCTCCGGGTACTGGCTGCTTGGCGAGCTGAGCCAGAACGTTCGAGGGATCGGCCGAGATAAGGGAGACACCCAGGTCGCGAGTAGCATAGGCATTCGTGTTGCTGGCAAAGTCAGAGACACGCGTTTCGGCAGGAATTCCAAGGGTGTCGGCCATGGGCTCCGGACTACGGGACTGCATTATGCGGTGATAGTAAGGCGAAATGGAGAGCTTGCGGCGGCACAAATGCTTGAGTCGGCAACGGGTCTTTGCATCTGACCGGGGCCACGCAGGGTACACGGAGGATTCCCGCGCACGAGGTGTAGAACTCCCGCTGCGATCATTCGATTGAGTCGGAAGAGTGTGCGCAAATGACAATCTTCTGCTGCTGTCCCAGGTGCGCTTCGCGCGGCGCGCAACTCTTGCCGTGACGCCCAATGGCGGGATACTGCCGGGAGTCTGCTTGAACGGGGTGATGGTCGGGTCTTGCAGGTACATTTGGTATGTGTTCCACAGATGATTGTCCATTTCACGAGTCCACAATTTGTCCTTGACAAGGGCTCGCTGCACCTGCTTTCTTTCAGGAAGAGAAGGAGACTCGGTCCCGGGCTCCTTGGCGATCTCGAGCACGAAGGAGTGGTCGAAGGCATCGCTCTCCACACTGGTGCAGCTTCCTCCTACGGAAGGGCGCGAGGCCAAAGTCTCGACGGACTCGCAGGAGGAATCAGAGCACGCGGTTCCGGGGCGCTGAATATTCCGTGCCAGGCCTGGGGTCTCATCCCACGACGGCCACATCTGCTCCGAGTCGCCGCCATCGAAAGGCATGCCGCGCACCTGGGCCGGGGGAGTCTTAAAGATCAAGCGCTGGCGAGGAGGCGCGAGGAAGCGATCGTCATTTGCAAGGTCATCGGAGTAAGTCGCGTCCGAGGGCGAGCCCCCTTGCGGGTACTCGATCGAGGGCACGGGAACATCCTGTGATGAAAGCGAACCTTGGAATCGAAAAAGATCCAGGTTGATCCGCTCGCAGACGTCAGTCCCGGAGCGGACGCGCACGCGAGGCAAACGGCAACTGGAGAAGGAATGGCGCGGGGGAGGCGGGACCTCGATCTGGGCGGACTCGCGTTCGGGAGTCCTGGGCCCATCGGAACAGAGCGACGGGAAGGTGAAGTTCTTGGGCAGCGTCTGCGACAGCTGACGCTGAGCCATGATGGAAAGTCGTGGAGGGATCCGCTCACTGGTATGTGGGGAAGGATCAATTCGAAGCGGAGGAGGAGTTGGGCAAGGAAGGGGGTTGGTCAGGTACGCGGCTGCGGCTGGTGAGATGTTGCAGCTCGCGCGATCGCGCTGATGGTGACGAGGTCGTGAATCGTGAAGAGAAAAGGAAAAAGAAGAGTAAGTCGAACGAGAGCGAGTAGGTCAGGCGTGGTAAGGAAATGATCTGTGTACGTGATAGGCTGTGCAACAAGTCCTAGAGTTTCAGGTGATCTGAAGTCTAGGTGGTTCCTGCGGAATGCGCCAACTGGGGATATTTGGGAATATCGGGAGATCACCAAATCACAACTGCGACTCCATCCCGGCGAATGCGAAGGGAAAGATAAGAGTCGTCATTACCGAACACCGGACAAAATACAAAAGAAAGTGCGAGAGAGGACCCGCAAGAGGAAAGAGGAAAGGTGGTAGTAGGGTTGGGGAAAGGGAAGGGGTGGAAGAAGGGAAGAGGAGAGAGAGTAGAGGTGAGAGGTGAGAGGTGAGAGGAGCGAGAGCGAGAGGGAGAGGGAGAGGGAGAGGGAGAGAGGGAGAGTCTGTGGTTGGGCGCCAGCAGTGAGGCGGACGGGGGAGAGTCTTAGGGAAGGGAAAGCCCTGAGGGACGGGCGAAACGGGGCTAGAGTCCAGAGTACACCAACTGGAGACGGGCAGTGGCACGCGGTTGGTCACTAGGTACCGTCCACGAGGGTACCGGGTACCCCCTCGTCAGGCAGTGCCAACACCCAATCTGGCGGTATCGAGTACCAGACTGGCCCGTCTACCGTTTTGCGGCCCACCTCGAGGGCCTGCACTACTCGCGACTAAAAAAAGTCGTTCCTAGACATGCTTCCTCACTGTTGCTAACCAGCTAGTGAGTTTAGCCTCTTTTTCGCCTCGCTTTTCCCCCTCCGTCCTTTCGTCTCGACACTTTTGCCATCAATTCTATCGTTTTTCCTCGGCCCGCTCGAGGAATGTGTTGGTTTGTTTAGATCTTCCTCGAGTCCTTCTTGAGTCGAGCACCTGCAGCCCGGACCTTACTTGATGCACGCTGCAGCTTGATCAAGAAGATGATTGCATTACGGGGGCGGAGGGTATGGTACATTGTACAGTACATTGTACGAAATACATAATATTCGTTTAGCCTAGAGATACCACAAAGCACAGCATCTATTGTATACACCCCCCGTCTATAGTACATATGAAACTAATTACGGAGTATACTGATACCAACCCTTCAACACCTCAAGATCCAAGAATAGCTACACCACTCCATCGTGTGTTCCACCATCAAATTTAGAAAATGAAGGGGGCTGGGAAGGAAACTCCCCCAGTACCGATTCTCGCTGGAGCCCACACGCACTTTCCCAAAGCCATAGGCTCGGACAGAGCTCCAAGCTCCATATCTAACCTGTCTTCGTAGACTGCACGGTCGATCATGGTCGTGAACCGAGATCACTAGACAAGACGAGCCTGCCGGATGGAGCATATTGTACACTACTGTATACACCAAATCACGAATCCGATCCCACGCCTCTTACAACCATCTCTTTCCAAGACTTCCCAGTAGACCAGCCTTCTCTGCAAGGGCCCCGAACCCCGATCTTGAACACGAACCTGATCCTCCCGGGAACGGTCACGCTGCCTGCGTCGGGTGATCAGCTCACCTACAGTAGTGAGAGTATAACTACCGTACTAGTGATGCCCATTGCATTCGACCTTGACCTCTATGGGAGAACTGTAGGTTTGGGAGAGGGGAAATCCCGAAACTCTTTTACGGAAAACAGAGTGGCGGGGGAGAACCACGAGCGGATGCCCATAGCTTTAATCTGGGTCTATGTATACTCCCTTACACTCGATTTTGACCACGACCTACAAAGTAATCATGAGACAGAGCCATAGCAGGCGTAGGACTATCACTCTGTCACAGTACTACTATAATAGCTGTTTAAAAATTAAAAAATCAAGTCTTTCAGATCCAGAACCATCGTTTATCCATTGTGCGGTGAACAAAAAAAACTCCCCCAGGGCCCCCACCAGGGCGGGCCATAACGATGTCCAAGCCCAAAACCCACCAACAAGAAAGAGCGTCCATGGATCGGGATTCGGGAAGGGAAGGGGGGGGGGAAGAGGGGGGATCCAGTTTTTCTTGCTAGTGTCTCTCGTTAAAGAAACCAATATAACTCTTTTGGGCTGGGAGACGCGTAGCGCGTCAAAAAAACGCGTCGCGTGTCGCGCTGTTTGTGACGGGTATCGAAGTTCGCGAATTCGTGTAGTCATTGTGGGTAGTTGTGGGTAATCATATTACATCAATACAGGGTGTATCTTTGGTGGTGCTCCACTCGAGGAAAATGACGGAGTCCCGGCTGTGAGGTTGTCCTTGCCCATGGCGTGGAAATTTGTTGGCCTGAGTCATTCTATAATACCTGGCTTTAACTATTTGGGTTAATGTAAAATTTGACATTTGATTTTTTTTCCTCGGGGAATTACGTTAAGTATAATCATTTCATATACTCTATGTAGTATGTTGAGTTCTATAGTTCTGTATGTGTATTGTATATGTGTATCGCGATGAGGACCCTACTTTGTGTGTCCGGTCCGTGTTCCAGTATTTCGATCATGTGGAACTGAACCAAAAAGGAAGATGAAGCCACAGCGGGACCTTCCCTCTGTCCTACCGTTTAGTCTACAGTAGTGGCATATGCATGGATAGAGTGCTTCTACTTCGAGCTGTGATTGCTGTTTTCGTCTCCTAATGCAATACTTTGCTATGAAGACTACGACATGAGTATACAATCTCCAGCTTTATGTACTTGATTTGATTCGACTATGCCTTCTCACGTTAGTCTCCCAGACACCTCCCTCCACAGTCTCCTGATCCGATGCCCAAACTCTGTTTTACGGGCCGTGAAGCTACAAGCTACCAAACCATGTTGGATTGATCAAAGCCCACCAGGAACTACCTTTGATATCACGTCACGGGTACCTGTTAGACCCACTTATAAAAGATACGACTATGATCTCAGGGGAGGTCTAGTATATCTCAAGGAGTCTTTCCTAACAAGATGCATGGACTGTGCCGCCGCTTGAAACGGCCGATAGAAAGTATATCGGAGATCATATCAGAGATAATATCAAAGGCCATTATCGAACATAAGCTGATCCACAGATGCCTAATACTCAGTATCGCATAGATCAAGATCAAGAACTTTTAAAGCAACACCCTTCCCGATCCCAGCCCGAAGTATACGTCAGAAGGCCAGCTCCATCTCCCCCTGCTCTTTCTCTCTCACTCCCCCAACATCACAAGATCAACGTCAGGCACCCTCCCCCTGAACAACAACTCAACACTCGGATCCGCAATACTTTCCGTCCCAATCTCAAAGTTCCTCGGTCTCCCTTTCACATCCTTAAACTTCCAATCATACTTCAACAACATATGCATTAGCAAAATCTTCGTCTCATTAGCCGCAAAGAACCGTCCCGGACAAGCATGACGCCCGTGGCCGAAGCTAAAGTTCTCACTCGTCGTTGTGACGAGTTGGTGCCGGTGCTCGTGCCCGGGCTCCTGTCGCTTCTTGTAGAAGCGGAAGCCGTCATAGGCGGAGGCGTTAGGGTAGACGGCGTCGTCTTCGTTGATGTGTGCGGATACGGCGATGGTGGCTCCGCGGGGAATAACGGTGCCGTCTGAAAGAGGGACTTGGGCGAGCGCGACTCGGTTCATGGATACTGTGGGCAAGGACGGCAGGATCAGTTGATATGATGCGTGGAGAAAGCATTGAAGGGATACATGAAGGAAGAGAAGCAATGATGGGAGGGAGGGAGGAATACTTGACTTACCAATGCTCACAGGATTCACTCGCTGTGATTCCTTGATCACACTATCCATCAACTTCAACTTCAGCAAACTGGTCTTCTTCAAAGATCCATCCTCCGCCAACACAGCCTTGATCTCCTCCCGCAGCGGGTCGACGTATTCCGGATACGCTGCAAGATCATACACAACGTTCGTCAACAGGTTAGACGTAGTATGAATCGCCGCCAGCGCTAATCCAACCTGCTCACGTGGCCTATCAGACACCGACCCATGCGCCGTCGAGATTTCTTCCAGCCAATCCAGTGCATCGGCGCGACGTGGTACATTTCCCGAATCACGCTGACCCTGTTTGGCCAAGGTGCGATTCTCAACTTCACGAGCGACGATGGCCCGCGCGACGGCAAAGTGTTGTCGTAGCTTTTGGCAGCTTGGCATGAACCAGTGGACTAGAGGCCGGAGCACGGAAGGCCACATGCGCAGGGCGCGGGCCGCCAGGAAGGCATCGATCGTGTAGTTGACCGAGACGTCGAGCCAAGCTGGGTCGCGGCAGACGGTCTCACCCATGAGGACGAGGGCTGAGAGACGGGCGATCATGTATGGGACTTTGTGGGAGAAGTTGTATGTAGTCCATTCTGGGAGAGGAAGTCAGTCAGCCTGAATATGGGTAGGTAATAAATGGTGGGTAGAGGAAGCTGTACCGTCTGATGGGGGGAAGGCTTCTTTCACCGTCGCAGCCGTCTCGACGGAGAGTGGGATTGTCAATGAGCCTGGTCTGCGTTAGGGATCTACCTCGGAAGATGCAGTGTTTGACATACCGAGTGCTTGGGTTAGCTTGATTCGCACCGTGTCCAAGATTACACTCGAAGCACCAGCGGGGTGAAATGCCTCGAATCCGGCAATTCGATCCTCGAAAAAGTTCTGCGATGGTCAACCCTTTCTCTATTGTGGCCGACGATATGAAGACGGTATAACTTACCTTCTTCGTGGCAAGTTCAAAACTCAAGTGGGGATGACTCTTGATCTCATCGACATATTTAGGATGCAAGACAATTAGAGGTCTGGTCGTAGCCATGACTTGGAAAATGCCGGTGCTCTATTCATCCTCGTGAGTATTCAGTGTATAATCTCTGATTCGGCATCATCCAATCACGGTCTTACCTTGGCGAATCCCTCTTCGATCAATGCTCTTGCAGCCCCCGCGAATCGTGTCTTTGCTTTTTTGTTCGACAGATCCCGCCATTCCTTGCCAACTAAAGGCACCCGACCATATGGGATCTCATCGGACAGATCCTGCCAGAAGCTGGAGACAAAGAGTAGGATAACAGCGACGCATAGACCCTGGACCAGGTAGGGTGTGGCCAGAAGCTCGGTAAGAAGAGCCATGGCCAGCCAGATCCGAAGCTAGGAAGTGTTGAGCAAAGAGCGAGGATTCACAAGAGGAGGAATGAAAAAGTCCGGACTGTAATTCTCTCGAGGAAACTGCTCATTCTGCCGCCTGCCGGATAAAAGTAATTTATAGGAACAGGACCATGCTGGGCCTGGTTGTCGCACTCGGGCCAGTCAAAACCAGTACTTTATCGATTACTCTGACAATTAGAGTATATGGTAAGAATGATGAGCTTATTTGCTACTTCTTCGGGAGTAGACCAGCCGAAGCCTTATTAGCGCCTCTGCCGGAAGCTAGACCAACCGAGAGTCGCCCATTTAAGAGCAACTCTAGTACCTTTCGGGCAAGGCTCGGAATCGGGAGACTCCGAAGATGATACCATTTATGGAAAACAGTAATATGAGCGGAATGAAATGTTCCGGATCTGAGGGCGGTGGTCTGGGCTGAAACTTAAAACCACATTGGACTATAAAAAGGAATGCGAGAACGAAGGTGGGCAGAATCGATCACTGCCTGATTAGGCAAATTGAGAGGGCACGGTAAGGGAGGGGGGTCCACTGGGTGAATACGAGAAATACGCATTGCTCACGGATTTAATGGTGGGATCAGGGATTAAGGTGGTTCTTGTCTGATCTCGATTGTTCGGAATAGCCTGTGTGCGAATGCCCCGAATACTCGGTTGTGCGGATGGGATAGAATGCCGAGGAAGGTATCACGGACGGTGTCAGAGTGATACACGGTCTAGCCAAGGTGAGAAATTCATTTGTCAGGCATGTTCTACTTGAGAGTAAATATGACAGCTGTAGGTAGAGTTGTGTACACATCATCATAATAAAGGCTGGTCGAAGTTAAGATGCTGACTGACGACGATCACCCGTTCTCCCTAAGAAATATACTTACAGTCAAGACTTCTATAGGCAACAGCCCTGGTAAGAAAAGAGTCTCCTTTTCATTGCTCATCAAGTAACTGACCACGGAGTCACTCAATCTCTCATCACTATTAGGTAACAAGCTCACTTCAAGTACATTAAGTGAGTGATCTCCCAAAGTCTAACTTCAGTACTCGAAAGTATAGCCGACCAATCATCGCCGAGTCCCCGCATTCCCGCATCCAGCCACTCCCCGCAGTGAGTTAGTGAGTTCCCTTTCTCTTTACCCTCACGTATTCTCCTTCCATTTCTTCCTTTGACCATCCTCGACTACGCTCTCTCTGTAATACCCTTGCCCATCCACACCCTCTTCTTCTCCCTCTTGTTCCCTTCTCCACCTTTGATATACACCCCGATACACTCACCATGGGAGATTACGGCCCCGTCGTCCCGCCTACCCACTCCTCCCCGGTGGGCCAACCCTCGCAATCCCCGCAGGGTCCCAACGAGATCTCCGTACTCATCACGGGATTTGGCGTAAGTCACTGGCCCCCCACTGACGCATAACCGATCTGCATCGGATCTCTCCTGTTTCCGATCCGAAGAGCGACACTTCCACCCTGCACCTACATCTATCCAGCGTTCATTCCCTTGACCAGGGTCTCATGTAAGACAAGACTAATTCGAGAACCCTCTATCCAGCCCTTCAAGACCAATCTTGTCAACGCATCCTTTCTCATCGCCTCATCTCTTCCTCCTTCATTCACCTTCTCACCCCCAAACACCGATGATACCAACGGCGAGCGCCGCATCTCTCTCCATGTCCATCCGTCTCCTATCCCCGTAGCATACGCAACCGTCCGGGAAACTCTACCCGCGATACTGGACGAATACGCAGCCACACACGGTGGGCGACGACCAGACCTAATCATCCATATCGGCATCGCCTCTCCCCGACCCTACTACTCGGTAGAATCCCTCGCCCACCGCGACGACTACAACATCACCGATATTAGTGGAAGAAACGGGTACGAGGACGGGGAGAAACGATGGCGAGCGATGGGTCTACCACCCGTCCTAGTCCCGGGTCTCGCATCCGAAGAAGACACAGAGAATGCTAGCCAGACACAGGGCTCTATCACAACCACTACCAGGCTTACCGTACCGTACCCGCCGGATGACCACTTCCTGCACGTATGGAAGTCTCACGCCCCGGAGAGTCTGGACCTGCGTATCTCGCAGGACCCAGGCCACTATCTGTGCGACTTCATTTTCTACACCAGTCTATCGCTGGCGAAGAGGCAGGGCCTGGACCGGAATGTCCTCTTCTTGCATGTTCCAGGTGGCTCGGCGGATCCAGACATCGAGCGTGGGCGGGACGTTGCGCTCGCGCTGATTAAGACCATGGTTACTTGCTGGATTGATGAGAAGCTAAAGGCTGCTACATGATGAGGTTTCGGGTATATTTTACGATATTCATATACCGCTGCTGGGAGTATATGGGGGGGGGGGGGGGGCATGACCCTGGTGTAAGGCTGCCCCGAGGCTTTTTTATACGAGCACTTGCGTTGATCTAGGTTTATTTTTCTTTTGGAACTTTTTTCTTGATCGTTGCATCTGTTACGGATTGGTTTCTGTGGTAGGGTGATAGCTTTTTCGGGGTCTTATCTTGATTTCTTTCGCATATAACGCGGGGATGGTGTTTTGTCGTGGAAAAGAGGCTAGTTACTTATATTTCAATGACTTCGGATTTGTCATGTGAATACCAGAAGTGCCTACGTATTTGTTTGTAAAAGTGGGTAACATCTCGACTTCGGTACTGTACCCCGAATACTCGGTTACACCACATAAGGACGGCTCACCCCGGACCTTGTTCGATTTTGTACACAGAGTTTTCTTTCTTTAATCAATCAGTCTTTTTCTGATGGTTCTGGTAGAACTTCTTCTTCCTATTTCAGCCTAGTCTATCATCCAATTGGGCTTGCTCTGACATGTTTTTATCATAGTGAACATTGAGTTTTGAAAATGACACTTCCACATTTCCTCGGATTTTGCTTGATCTAAATGATTGATCCCCTCCAAAAATACTCCGGTCCCTCCAATCCATATTACTTTGGAGCTCCATATCATTCAATTACCGTTGAGCTTGTATGCTTACTAGTTACTGCTGCGATATCACATCAGCTCATGATATGCAATCCCAGGCACCGCCCTTGAAGGCGGCCAGTGTCGGCACAAAACGGCCAGACCTGGTGCTTATCAATCCCTCGTGCTTGCAAACCGGCTCTTTCATTACATACATGTTTTGGCAGACTTTGACTGGTCATGTCCAGGTAATTTTTGAATCTTCCAGTAAGACCCACAACTATAGATTGGAGAAACCCTGCGAGAGTAAGCCCATGACTCTAACCAAGTATATCCCCAAATTTCAATTCTCTCAACCCCATTCCACCCCCCTTCACACGCCTCAACCACAATCATGCTGGACACACATCCAACTCCATCACTGGTAGCCCTAGCCCTAGTCCTTGGACTCCTCCTCATACTTCCCTTCCTCCTCATCCCGCAATTGAAGGGATGGACCAAGCAGTCTTCACTGCTACCACGCCTCAACCAACTCTGGCGCTGGCGCCGCCAATCCAGTGAGATCGTCTCGCTGCGCATGTACCCCATTAAATCTTGCCGTGGCTTCGAGGTCCAATCAGCCATCTTAAAAGAACACGGTCTCGATCTCGATCGGCGCTGGATGCTCGTCGATGCGTCGACACACGAGTTTCTGACGATCCGTCAGATTCCAGATATGACGCGCATTGGCACGGGCTTAAGTGCCGATGGAAGTGAATTGATAGTCACCATCCCGTCCAAGAGTACTACCACCGACAGGCCTGCCATGCACACCGTGCGTATCCCTTCCCATCCATCCCCCGAATGGCTGGAAGCCAATACTGTCGTGGCACCGGTCAAAATCTGGGATAACAACACGGACGGATACATCTACGGCGATGCTGTCAATGCCCCGTTCTCCGAGTTTATGGGCCGCCCCGTTGCACTGGTATACAAGGGTCCGACACAGCGCGTGCTAAAAGGCAATGGCGCCCCCGAATTGCTTGGTCGCGTCCAGACTACCGGTTTCCCGGACGTATTCCCCATTTTGATTGCCTCGGAAGCATCACTGGCTGAATTGAATACTCGGCTTCGTCGCGTGGACGTTGATCCAATTGCTGTCGAGCGTTTCAGACCGAATATCATCGTACGTGGTGAGAAGCCCTGGGTCGAGGATTCGTGGAAGACTGTGCGCATTTGCAGTTCGACTAGTAAGAGTGCCTCGGATGATGGGATCTCCCAACAACAAGTCGATCATGTACCGATTGACCTGGATATCGTTGCTCGCTGTGCGCGCTGTCAGGTACCGAATGTTAACCCGGATACTGCTGTGAAACATAAGAAACAGCCTTGGGATATGCTGGTTTCGTATCGTCGCGTTGATGAGGGTATCAAGTATAAGCCTTGCTTTGGGATGTTGGCGGCGCCGAGAAGTGAAGGGACTGTGGAGGTGGGGATGAAGTTGGAGGTGCTGGAGGAGACGAATCAACATCGGTATATTACTGGATTTTGAGTTTTTGGTGGATCTGAAGAAAATGTGGGATGTGCACCACTATCGTGACAGTCACTATTTGATTCGATCTAGATTAAGAAGAATCATTTCCGTCCAAGTGAAAACGGAGGTCATCTTTTCGAACGACTGAGGGCCTAGCACAGCAGCGATGTCCATCACTTTCCCAAGCATACAATAGACAGAACGAATCTCCAAAGAAGTCACTCACAAGAATGTGAGACATTGTTTACATATTTCCTCCCATCTCGTCAATCAAAGCAAGATAACATTCTCCAAGATCCCTGTTTCGGTCTCAGAGCGGAAGGTACGATGTCACCAGTAGGAAATTAAGATTGATCGATCCCTGACCCAGCTCTTCCAACCTAAGCATCACATATAATAATATCATACTATCATCAAGGCCTATAAATAACACGGACATCAAGATCGCCTGCGCTGATCTTGTCTTCGGTGGGATGTCCTTGCCCGGCGAAACGCAGTTGAAGAAGCTCGATATCTTCGCCCGATAAAACATCTGCCGTTTCCCGGTTCTCCTGCTTAGCCTCGAGAAGAATTTGTAGATCCTTCCCATTCAAGGATAGCTTGTAAGGTGCTTCGCTCATGTTTCGCCATACTACATGCGGTGGCTCCTTGGAAATGGTCTCTCTGTCCACGTACACGTAGTCTTTGATATCGTAACCGTAGTATGTCGTATGACCCCGTAGGTAGTTATTGAAGCTTTCCTGCTCAAGCTGAATAGGACTTAGCGATTCTTTCTGGACAGTAAATATCTGGGAACACAACTTACCGAGACGATGCGGAGCCTCAAATCGCGCTTTCCCAGAATTCTGTCTTCGTCGCCACAGGCGCGAAACACATACTCCTTGTCCACTTGAATTCTGCCACCAAACCCAAGTTCATGGACAATGATCTTGTCGTGTCTGCCTTCGTAAACATGTTGTTCCACGTATATTTTGGGATCCATGTGGTCTTCATCAGTTTTTGTGATAAATGCGGTTAGTCGAATGAACCATTGACTATCATCTATTACGCCGGAATTGAGAACTTTAGTCTCGTCTGTATCCCAATTAGCTTAGATTCACGCCTACGGCTCCAATGAATTCATATATGTACCAAGAAAAGAAACCTTTCTGTATCGACATTCGGGGACTTCGTTACATTCCGGATCCGTGCCTTGGCTGCTAGTGAAGATAGTCATGGGAAACGTCGGGTCCTGGCCGGAGGCCTTGACCATCTCATCCAGCGAGCCGCTGCGTATCGAGTGGCCCATAATACACTCCTGAGATTTTCTAGGCTTATGCTGAGCCTTGTTCCAGGAATATGGTGTGGAATTCCTCTTGGCTATGCGGCCTCTAGTCGCGGAAACTTTACTGTGAAGCACCAGGTTGCCGTGTTCGTCCAGCTCATGGATTGTTGCTGGTTGTGGTGGAGATTTCATGGTATTTGCTTTTCGTCTTGTTGTGTTTTCTTGCAAGATAGAACGGAAATGAAAAGGAGAAAGTTGAAAGGTCTCCTTTATCTACTTTCAGAAATCGCGACGTACTTTTGGAGGTGACTAGTGCAGGTCGACTACGCGGCTCAGGTGGGGAGGCTTTGGGGGCCAGCGGCTATAGGTGATGTTGCGCATTTTCAGGCTCCAAATGGCATCAATTCAAAGACATGAGAAGGCAATGCATATACTCCTTGATCGAGTGCCGATGTCAATGCTCAAGGTGGAGAATACGGCAATGCGACAGGCCGCATCGATTAGAGGCCACGAGGAGGTAGTAAAAATAACATGAAACAGCCAGGATTTGCATGTGGCCCACTGGCCAGCGTGTGGCTTATATGCGGCAGATAGTCGGGTGAGCGCCGCTTTAAGGTCGCGCGCCAGCGATACTAGCACTGAAACATTTGAATTTAATAACAATGCAGTAGTGGAGCCGTTTGTCACAAAACCAGAATAGCCGCAGGATGATCTGAGCACCTGGGCAGTGGGGGTGGTTCTTTTCTTTAGGGCCATCATTTCCAAATGTTTCATTCCTTACTCCTTCCTCATCTTGCCGCAAGTCCAAGTTATGTCTTACAGCAAATTCGACGCTCCATGGGATGAAACCCCCCGGGAATCCTCAGAGAATGCTCTCCGTGACCAACACGGTACCAGACTCTACGAGAACGACTTTGGTCACCTTCTGTCTACAATCATTAACTACAATGACATCCCCAGACTAAAACAATATCTTACTGTCTATTCTCTACGCTTGACCTAAAACAGAAAGCGTTTAATGACACACTTTGTGTTGTCGCGTCGCAGGGACGTACAGCGGTGCTCCGCGTTCTTATAGGCTACTACAATACCAATTAGAAACATCTGCCTCTCTATCAGCGAGGGTGCTCGTTACTGACCGCAGCATGCGGAGAGGCACAGATTGAGACAGCTCGATTAATTATAGACAGTCAGCCGGCCCTCAATTCAGTACACATCAACCAGATGTATCGTGATAAAGCACTACTAGCAACTACCAGATCTTTAGGTTCTTTGCCCCCGTGTGGGCGTAGAATCGAGACGCCTAAAGGTTGCTAGCACTAGATTAGCAACCGCACTACCTAAGCAGAAGAGTTAATTTATCTACTCCTCGATAGTAGTGCATCTACTCAAGCGACTAAACCGCTTAAAGATAGCAACCAACCAAAGAATTACTATAGAACCGTTCTCGGTCGAGGCTCCTCACGAGCTAGGCCCGTGCTAGTGAAACGACTCATTAAGTAAGGAGCTAACGTATACGCGAGGGAAGAGTACTAATCTAACACTATATATAGACTTAAGAGGAAGAGGGGATATCCCTCGGATATAACTACGCTTTATATTAGTAGTACGTATTAGAACTCGGAAGTTCTACAGACGCTTCTCGACTATAGTAGAAAAATACCCCTAAAGAACTATTATACCGCGATAGTTATAGGCTTCTACCTCTTCACTAGGTAGCCGCGGGCCTAGGCTTATAGGAATATTAGCTCCCGGATAAGGAAATCAATAGGTATATTCTCGATACCCTTAAGTTACTCTACTCCAGTAGCGATATTAATACCCAGGATAACAAAGGAATAACTCCTTTACACTACGCCGTATACGGTCACGCCCGCTATAGTCAAAGCATACACTTCGATAATATACTAAGGTTCTTACCAGAAAAAGGGGCGCGTGTAGGATTAGTCGACAATAATACTCAGACCGTGCTATATAAGATAGCTTACTACTACCCAGAGGGTGATCTCATCAACACCTCTCTAATATAAATACTTATTCACACAGTGCCGATATCAACCAACAAGACGTCAATGGGAATACGGCATTGTACCTCATAGCTAGGAATTTACGCCAAATTAAGGCAACTCAGTTTCTAATTTCTCAGGGCGTAGATATATCCCTTATCAATATCAAAGGGAGTACAGCCCAACACGAATACTTAACAATAGGAACGATTCTGACAAGGGAGACTTCGAACGAAACTATTACTCCTACGGTCGCCGATTGAAGAAAAGCCCTAGATAAAATGATCAATATTTTGTTGCATGTCGGGGGCGATGCTATAATGGAGCAGACCAATCAAGCGGGGGAGACGCCACGACAGCTGCAGTCGAAGAAACTAGCCTACTGGCAGCAACTGGAGTTACACGAAGCCACGAGAAAACGAGAAAAAAGTAGTCCAGCGAAACCCATTGCCACACCTGTTGAATGAAAATCTTTTGAATAATTGGCCATACTCGAGGACTGAGGTACTCACACATGCATGTACATTGTTCAGTACACTTGTCACACATTAGGAACATAGTGCCAGCTATGGTCGTATGTGCTCGATTTTACATGGCAATGTACTCTATCATGAAAGTTGTAAGGTATTCGAGTACAGCACGCTAGCGTTGTGTGCCTGGGGAAGTGCAGGTGCGCAATGGACAGGCTGAGAAGCCGGAACTGGATTAGCGCGTTACCATTTATCCAGGCGTTTTGGCGAGGAGGGAGTATCATCGGGTTGGGGGATGAATTCCGTCGTATGCGAGGGAGAATAAGGGGATATTTGGCCTTTTCTTGTGTCTTGATGGTGGTGGATATAGACATCAGGTGGATTATGGTGTATGACTAGATTAGACTTCTAGAGCAAAGGCACGGAGTATGGTGGAATAGGGACCGGCGGCAGACTCAGTAAAATATACTCGCATCGGATGTTAGAGAAAAAGCCTTCGTGATATCTTTCATTATCTTTCGAAACATAATGCCTCTTATTCACACCATTTGCTGTCTGATGCCTAATTCCAGATGCCTTATTTCTAAGATAATGATCTACTATCTAGGCATCTCTCGAGCGACCCCCTGCTTCTTTCCTTCTTCCTCCCTCTCCTTTTCTCTCTCTCTCTCTCTCTCTCTTATATGCTTAGTTGCTTCGTTGAATGCCGCCAGGGTGATCTTCCATGCCTGAGCTGTAACAATGCCCCTCAGAATTCTTGAGGGCGAGACGCCCACCCCGCCCTCCTGGGGATCGTTGCCATTGGAAATTTATGTTCTTTCAGAATGGGAAACCCCCAATCCCTCACATCCCACCGATCCCGAATCCCCCTCAGACCGCCGCGGACGACTCGTACGCCAATTCCTTGCTTTAGGGCACGAGGGTAGAGAGGTATGTATATCCTATCCTGATCTAAACCAGCGCTGAATTAAACAAATATTGAATTGTTTAGACCTACAGAGCTCGTGCGGAAATTCCACCTTCAGTCTCTGAAGCGCAATTAGCCGAGATTCTTCTCCCTCTGCGCCCCGAGGCTCTGCGTCCCTTTGCTGGGTATACCGGGTGTCTAGGTGAAGGCCTCTGGCTCCGTCTATCCTATGACGATGAAGCGGCGCATGAATCTCTATGGTCTACTAATGAAGATTTAACCTACGTTGGCCCTGATGGGGTGATCCTCGACGATAAGAATATCTTCGGCGGGTTAGACTTAGTAGCTGCGGTGGAACTTTTCCCCGAGCGTATCACAAACGAGGGCGTCAATATTGAGCTAAGAGAAACGATTCTAAGAGAGACACTTAGCGAATTAGAAGAGGATACAAGATCCGGCGAAGAAGACTATTCTGATGAGGTTAAAGAGATGCTAGCGCGGCTGAGGGCGCCTATTATTGCGAACCCGCTCCTAAAGTATAGTCGGTATCATGCTGCTTGTGTTGTTACTCATATCGTTGTGGGGGATGAACCAGCACTCAATGATGAGGGCTTATTACATGTGTTTTTCGATGACTGTGGGAATATAGTGAGGCAGTGGCGGGTGGAGGACGATGGAGGAGAGGCTGACTTTGACGGGAGCTGGGCTGAGGGTATTTGGAAAGAGTTTCTCATTAATGGAATGGGAGAGGTTGGTCCTGCTTATCGTGAGGGTGGAATTCGTGGGTCCCCATATTTGTGATGAGACTGGGAGGTACTTTTAGACAGAAAGAAATCATTTATTTCTTTCTCTTAAACGTCTTTCTTTTGAACGTTACATATAAGGCTGTCTGTCCTTGAAGAGGAGTAACTAAGCAAATGCCGATTAGACTGACATCTTTAGACATGGTTGCTTGTAAGGGGGAGAAGTAACGTAAAGGGTTGATATCGCGGCCATGCAGTTGGCCGTGGACTCCCGTGGGCCACTTAAAACTTGGAAGACAAAAGACGAGGTCGAAGACCCACTTCTACACCTAGCCCCAAGTGACTATAGCCCTGTTAAATAACAGAGCCCGTCCGCCCCTTTGATGACCTAGTCCCCTTCCTCTACTCTTCTAACCTTGACACTGACGACCTAGCATGTCGCTGATCAAGTTGTGCAACCAATGGCCTGGAGGGATCCCCTCCTATATTCGTCGCCACGAACAGCCTGAGGATGATGTGATTTCCGCCAGTCGCGCTTGGCGGCATTTTGTTCGCGAGCAATGGACCGACAGTGTCCCCGCGGATCAACAGCGACGAGCTCTGATCGAACGATGGGCAACCGCTGACCAAGAATTGCGCGATCTAAGCTCTACACTCACAAATTGAGAATCGATCTTCCTAAGGGAGTAAGCCTTATTATCAATCTTACACTTAGATAGAGCTATGAGTCCCGAGCGCCGGAGGATGAGCCTACTTTCGAGGACCTTGAACAAGTATGTATAGTGCTCTTTTTTGGAAATCTATAGGGACTCACTGACCCTAAATCAGGACGGTTGTCTCTATGGCATTCCAGACTGCTGGCTATATGATGTTCATATCTGTATCTCCGAATGGACTGCCGTGAAGCAAGCTCTACTCGCGAAATGTGTTCTTGCATTATTCCCATGGGATGGCAGTTATGAGCATCTGGCACGAAATATGCCATTATGGATGCCTTTTGAAGACAACCAAGGGGATATCTTAAGCACGTTCAAGTTCCGCCTAAGCGTCGCCCAGCCGAATTTCCTAGACATGCATATGGCACAGGATGGGACCGTCTTATTCTTAGACACGTCTCCAAAGCTGATTATTGATGACCGCACTCTGGAAACCGGACTGGCACTCTGGGTTCAATTCGCAACCAACGGCACAACGCAGCGAGCTTACCGGAGTCAGATGCTCATCGACGGCTTTCCTGACTTATATCGCGAGGTGCATCCGAATCAGGATCCATTGGAGCTCGTACTGGAGCATATGGGAGAACAAGAGGAGCATGATAATCCACAAGTGATTCAGGAGGATGAATCGTGAGTGCTTTCAATTTTTGTGATTGTATGTGATAGTGCTAAAGGCAAACAGGGTTGATATGCGCCGTCCGTTCGCGGAGGTGTATCTTGTGGGGTCATATTATGGGGAGAACGGTCATGAGCGGATGAAACAAGAGCTACGCGACCTAGTTGATCAATATGCACCTGGATTCCGTGAGGCTGAGGAGAGAGGTAATGGTGTAGCGATTGGGTATGATTTGCAGCGAATACTTGTAGATGAGGGACGTCCGCTATGGATCACGGAAGATCCATTAAACTGACCAACCTTAACACTCAACCCATGTCCCTAGTTTTGTCCTATTCCGATGCCATGTATGTATAGCTCATTTATAATGCATTGCCGAAGTCGATGAGACGAGAGTGCGCAGGAACAGATTTCCTGCGAGACCCATGACCAAGATTATGGTAAATTATAACGCTGAAAACAGCGTCGAGTCTGTATGATCCTCTCAGTTGGATGAGATTTTACTATACATTCTAATCTGGTTGCACCTCTCTTTAAAAAAAAAAAAAACAAGAGACATATTTTTGATAGGGGAATAACAGATGCCAAAAAGACATCATCTATATACACCAACTCCGAAAACCTAACTCAGTTCTTCAACTGCTTACTCGCCGACACACACCAGTTGTTCCAATCCGTAAAGAACGACGGCTGGATATGGCACTTAGTACTGATCAACTGCGCCTTCCGAGTCTCGGCATATACATCCACAACACCCGCGATCGCAGCCTTATCCTGTCCAACCAGAACCTTGACCACAAGCAACGAAGCTTGACTACAGGCCGTCGCGTGCGCGGGTGGTCCACTGTGACTAACCTCCTTGTGAATGGCGCGCAGGAGTTCCCAAATAGCCTCGGGACCGTCCTCACTATCGATGCTGGGAAGGGCGTTACCCTTGCATAGCTTGGTGTACTCGCGGAGGACGCTGTTGGCCTTGTTGACGATTTGCTTCACGGTCGAGCGGCGGGTGAGTCTGAGGAGGGGGAGGAGTAGGTCCAAGGCGAGGAGGCGGGAGTGGCATTTCTTGACGAAGATCTCGAGGAGGTCGAGGACGCGGTTTTTGAAGTTGACCATGTTCTCGCGGGCGTCTTTCTTGTCCTTGTGTTGGGAGGCGGCTTGCTGGCGCGCGCGGAAGACGTTGGCGAGTTTCTCATCGACTTCTTCCATGTCGTCGTCGTTCATATCGGCGTCTGAATCCGAGTCTGAGGCGCCATCTTGATTGGCACGGTGGTTGCCCAGCGCGGCGGCGAGCTTGGCTTCAAATTCGGCTATTTCGGTGGCATCCTCTTCATTTTCCTCGTCCTCTTCTTCGTCTGAATCTGAGTCCGAGGCGGAGGCGCCTCCACCGAGGACGACTTCGACGTCGCTGTCCTCGTCATCGACGTCGATCATCTCAACGTCGTCCTCTTCTTCGTCGTCGTCGTCTTCCTCCTCACCACCTTCATCATCCTGCTCTTCGAACATCTCCTGCTGACCAGCAAGACTCTCCTTGGCTTCCAGAATCTACAAGAATGGTTAGATCATAGAAAGGGATTGTCAACTTCAAGAGCACATACCGAGATCAGTGACTCCAGGCCGTTCTCAGTAACCTGGTCAGCAAAAGCACCAAAGACTTGCTCGCTCATACGGCGGAACAGCTGCGACTGCTTGGAGGCAAAGCTCAAAAGAATCTCGACTAGGGCATCCGAGGCATCGGAAGTATCCTCCGACTTTGAATCGTCGCCCAAGAACTTGGTATAGCAGAACTCCAGCTCGTCGAGCATGGAAACGGCGTCAGCATCACCACTGTACACCTGCAAGACGGTCAAAGAGTAAAGAAGCTTGAAAGCGGGAATGCTAGAAGTCTCTCCCTTCTTCTCCTATACAACAGTATCAGCAGATATAAGATAAACAGAATCATGAAAAGAAAAAAGACAGTCTGAAATGACATACCTTGCTGGACAGCTTCTTCAATGACTTGAAGGCGGTCTTCACCGAATCCTGCAGCTTATCATCCATGTTGATGATAAACTTGCCGTGCTCCTGCGACTTTGCGCTGTCGCGAATCTGGCGCACCACGGAATACGGAATCGTTGCAGCATATTTCTGGGAAGCAAGCAGACTGTTCAGGGAAGAATTGATACGGTTGCGAAGCAGCTCCTGGGTCGCCTGTGACAGGGCGGGCTCCGGCGCACTATCCATGAAGTATGCAAAGCGGACAAAGATGTATAGAATCTTCTCAAGAACAGACTGGTAGTCCTCTTCGGAATCATCATTTCCAGTCGCAGCCTTTGCACGCACAATCGACAATAATAGACCCGCAACGAACTGGCGGTTCGAGGCAGCGGCTTTCTCGTCGGTAGTGCCGGGGTTCAGAATAAGTTTCTCGAACACGGGAATAATCTCCTCGAGGGCGTTGCTGTTGGCATCGGCAACGATCTTCTCAATGGTCTTGGTCTTGGTAGCTTGATCGAAGTTGACAATTTCACTGGTTCCCATCAGACCGCGGACTGCGGCGGAGGCAAAACCGGGCTCCTTGGACACGCGAGCCTGAATGGCCTTGGTGGCTTTGACAGCCATACGGTGCAGGTAGCGATCTTCCACGGCGAGCTGATTCGTCAGGCATCGGACGAGGTTCTTTGTGAAGATCTGGTTCGCCTGCTGGGACGAGCCCTCGTTTAGGACCTTGTTGAAAAGGAGGAAGCCCCAGTACTTGCGCTCGTCCGAGGAAGAAGAGGCAAACAATCCATCTAAACAACATCAATTAGTACGGGAGTTCTCGAGATTGAATTCAGGTAAAACCTACTGTCGACAACCTCGGTCCAGAAATCAACAAAACTGAGACGTGCAGACTTGGACTTGGACTTGGACTTGGAGCTACCATCCTTGGTCACTTCGCTGGTCCGAGAGATGACAGCGTCCCAAGCGAAATGAAGCTTCGAGTTCCACACTCCAGAGGACTTGTTTCCCTTGTTCTCGCCTTCGGTCTGCTCGGCAGACGATTCCTTCATGATCTTTGACAAACTACCACGCTCTTTCGGATCCAACGGATCATCGTGCTTCCATACCTTACTGGGAAACTCGGCCTCGGGGAACATGTCCTTCGCAGCCAGCCAGACAGCCACACCCTCCGGAGAACGGGCCAAGTCGTGGGTGCAAAGACGCTCCACGGCAGCCTCGACAAACTTGTTGTCCATCTTGCGCGCCGAGAGATCATAGACACAGCGGTAAATAATCCAACCACATTCCTCGCGCAGCCATGGCTTCTTATGGGCGAGTTCGAAAATAAGGTCGAGGACCTTGGCCCAATGGGTGAACGGAGTGGAGGGTTGGAAGAGGATGGAGGACTTGATGACTGCTTCAGCGCCGAAGAGGCGGCCAAAGTGATGATCGCGTTGTTCCTATAAACCCAAGATAGGTCTAGTATTAGCACAATCGCCTTGTCATTCGAGGTCGGGGGGTGTAACACACCTGTCCAGTCTCACTGCCAGTAGAGTTGGACTGTGATTCCCAAATATTCAGCGCATCCGCAATGCTAAATTCAGCAGATTCCCTGGGAGCGGAGAAGATCTGAGTCAAGACCTCGGTCAGCGCAATGGAGAATCCAATGCGAGCAGCCTTGCGACTACTACAGAGACCGCGGAACAGTCGCTGGAGCGTTTTCTTGATCTGCTCATCGGTCGGGTTCTTGTCGGGAGTGAACTGAGAGACAAGGCCCTGCGCAGCACGCAGACGGATCTCATCTTTCTCACTAGCGAGATCCTCGTAGATCTCAACGAGCTTCACGTCGACATTGTACGGTTCGCGACGGCGCTTTCGCGGAGCGAACTTGTCGAATCCCATATTTGTTGAAGGTCTGGGAGTAGTGGGAGCCAATTAGCTTGCTGCTATGGCTCTTGGAATTGCAGCTTTGAGATTGGAGCTGCTGAGTTGTTGCTCCTTACTGAGGAACCCGTGTAGCATTGCTCGAGGAGGCGCAGAAAATTTGGGTGTCAATTGCCTGTTTAGGGTTAGCGTGTGCCGATAAGCTGATAAGAGCTCTCCTTGGTTATCGTAGTGTCTCGCGTGGCATCACCACTGCAAGAGGGATAAATGCAAGCTGAGTAGTTGAGACAGATGTGATTCCAGGTAGATGACTTGATCTCATTCAAGACACATAGGTGTTGCACCAATAAGTGGTATACAATAAGTGGTATATCCTGTCAGTGTTGGATCTTTCGGCTCGCCACAGAAGACCGCGGAGCCATCGTCAAGATCTAAGTAGTTACTGATTGCAAGCAAGAAACTAAGTTGACGCTTAACCTAAGTCGAGCAGGCTGCAAAAATATGAACCAAGTGGTTTCTTCAGTCTATGATTTAATTTTGGAGCATTGTATGAATGATCTATTCTCTTTGTTTGACTTGATCTCGAAATCGTAGCATCGACCCCGATACCTACGTGGGGGCTCTCAATATATATCATCACCCGTTGCGGGAGCACAATCTTCTTGTTCGAATGCCAATCAACCTCAAAGTCTTGAGCAGTCCCAAAAGAACTACTACGTCAATGATCGCATAAATCTCGCATCCACAATTGGTCAATCCACCCTCCAAATAAAAGTTTTCATCCCAATTAATCGCCTCAACCACCGGGCACTCTCATAGCCCCGATCATAACCCATCACCCGATCAACCCGACCACAAAAAAACGAAGCAGACAATCGCCGAAAAATTCTTTCCTGTCATTACCTGTTCGTTCAATTCTTTCATTCCGCATTCTTTCCAAGCTATTCCTGCGAATATCCGCAGCTCATCCGCTCGTAATCTGATCAGTTCTTTGTGAGACGTGCTCAGGGGTAAAAAAGTCGTCGCTGCGACCAACGCAAACACCGGCCAAGCATGAGCGCATGAGCTCGATCATCCAAGCATCCAGGCCTCAGGGCCACCTGTCAAGGCCAAGATGGCACAAAGAAAATCCCCACTTAATAGTCCGTATTCCGCGAACGCTAGTTAGTTGGTCAGGTATGTACTGTGCTGTACTCCGTAGGTAGTCCGTCGTCGTGTGTGGGTTTGATGCGCGAGCCCGTGTTCCGCGGAGGGTCTGGATGGCAGAATGGCCTCGTTGTCTGGGTAGCCGGGAGCTATTTGTACAGCGTGGTGGATTAATTGTTCGACGATGGAACTCAACGGAGAGGACGGATGTATCGATGCGTTGGCAAAAGAAAAGAAACGACAAGAAGAAAAGCAAAAGTCACGCCCAAATGGTTGGCCTGAAATTTGGGGAATTGGAGATATCGA